CGTGCGCTCCTCGACTTGCTAGACAATCTGGGTCAGTAGAGTTTGTATATCTCATCGGATTAGCCACTTACCTGATGTCTGTACGGATCCAAAGCGCCAAGAATTCCCATCAACTTGATGGTTTCCTGTCGTAACGGACCACGTTGCGGCTCGGACCGGATGATCAGCTGCAGGAGATCGAGTAGCTGGGGGTACTCAAGGTAGGGATCAACCACATAGCCGCTGTTACTGGCAAGTTGGCCGAGGGTGTGCAGTGCAGCGAGTCGCTTTGGCGTGGAGCTCTGGTCCTGTAGGGCATCTATGATGATGGGCATCAACTCGTCCTTGTGTCGTAGCATGTCCTCCCCGCCAACGGTACAGAGCTCTCCGATCGCCTTGAGGACAGTAGCCGCAACGGCCGAGCTGGGGTCTTTGGCCTTGGGGAGTAGCACCTTCATTATGGGTTCAACGTATGGCTTGACCAGTCCCTGGGCGTTTTGGACGAGTAGACTGAGAAGCTTGGCACTCTCCTCCTTGTTCCGTCCGACATTGGCATATTCGAGCTCCGTAAGCATCTGAATGAGCGTCTTACGAAGGGACGGGATAACATAGGCCGGGTTGTGTCTCGCGAGGCGGCCAATGATGGAGATGGCTACTTCACGAATGGAGAAATCCTCGTCGTTCAGGGCGAAAAAGAGCGTGCGAATGTTCTCAGCCTTGGCGAGATGGTGATCAAATCGTTCGTCCAGCGCCGCGAGAACCGTACGTCGAATGTCTGCCTCGGGGTCCGCCACACCTACGGTCAGGAGCTTTTCTATGACGTCGCCGACAACTTGCAAGGCGTGAAGACTGGTCTGGTTGACGATGGGGTCGCGCACGTAGAGCTGGCAGCAGGTGAGGGCTGCCGCTTCACGAATCTGTGGGTCATCATCTTCGACATACTTGATGGCAACGTCGCGGACGAATTCGTTCAGCACGTGACCTTGGTGTTCGGTTAGCTGCGTGTGCAGAGGAATCCCGAGTTCCTTGCAGTTGGGCCTGTGGCACTATCTGCCAGGTCCCCCAGTGGAGATATTGGACTCTCGGAGACCACTTACCTGAAAAGTCAAAGCTACCCAAAGTGTTGAGGGCAAGCTTGATCTCGGCCTTGCGATGCTCGTAGGCGTGAGGGTCTTTGGTGTCCTTCGGGATGATAGGAACAGACGATAGTGTGTTGGGTGTGGGAGCGCCCAGAGGTTTGAAGGGTTCGCCGCACAAGACCTTGCTGAGCATATCCAGAAGGCGCTCTTGTATCGTCGCCTTGACCGGAGGAATGTAGAAGGCCATGTCGACCAGGGCCTGGGTGAGCTTGGGTGTGAGCTCGCAGGCGAAGATGGGATCGAGAAGAGCCTCCATGTACTTGCTGAGGGTCTGGCCGACGGCGACTGCCAACCTGCTGATGCAGTCGAAGACGGGGTCGACCGAGCCACGTCTTCGCGATTGGATGCTAAGCCCTTCTCTAACATAGATCAGAACCCCATCCAGGTAGGGGGCGATGGCACTCTTGACCGAGTTGGCGATGTTTCCGATGGCGAGGAAAGCGTCGTTACGCTCCTTGTCTTTCTTCAACATGCCGGAGAGGTAGAGCATGAACTTGTGGAGGTGGGAATGGGCAAAGTCGGAGGGAGCGTAGTTGGCCAGGTCGGGGATGAGCAGGACAACCGTCTTGCGGATGATGGGATCCTTGTGATCCTTGTGGCGGAAGACAATCTCGCAGGCATCCTGGTACTGGTCTTGCATGAACATGCCACCCTGCTCGAGGAGCTCCTTGAGCACCAGAAGGGAACCGTGGATGGACTCGACAGAGTTAATGCGGAGCCCGGCCAGGAGCTCCGTGTACATGCGGGACATCCAAGCCTGCTTCATCTCCTGGTCTCGCTCGCGGATGATGCGAAAACAGGCACTAACTGTCTCACTGGAGGTGACTCGGATGAGTTGCCTAGAGTCCCGGAGGCCAACCCAGATGAGGTCGAAGATGAGGCCGACGTACGAGTACATCAGAGTGGGCGCATTTCGGGCCAGTTCGCGAAGGACAAGAACGGCACTATATCTCTTCTCCTCGACTCGTTCTGACTGGAGCCACTCCAAGGAGGTCTTGACTTCGGACTCGACCAGCTCGGAGATGAGCGAGCCACCAGGCCGGCAGAGCTTGCCGAGGGCAATGGCTGCGGGCTGCATGGGGACCACGTCTTGACCCCGAAGGATGCTCTTGAGGTTGTTGGTGAAGCGGGTGTACTTCAACGTGACGTCCACGCCGTCAAAGTCGGCCAACGCATCCATGGCATACACGCCGCCAAGGCGATCTGCCGGAAGATTGCTGTGGACAAGACTCGTGATCTTGCTGTGGACAGAGTTGTAGAAGGAAGTAAAGGTATCGCTCGGCTGGTCTGTGAAGCGCACATGGTCAGCACGTGAAAATGCAAGCAGGAAAACAATACACAGTGAAAAGCCGACGTTTTGGACGGCCAAGAAAGGCAAGGTGCCAACACGGTTTGCAAGATCGTGACCGCAGTCGAGCCGCATTTGAAGGCATAGTCGAGCCGCGCCACGATGAGTGTGGAGGCCAGGCCTTGGACACCTGGGGAAGCTTCCCAAGGTTACCACATCAACTCAAAGTGACTGGCTAGGGATCTCCTCGACGAATAGTCGTGGATGCATGCCTCCTGCAACCGACTACCAGCGATCCTCGGCGACCACAACAACATCGAGGCCAAAGCCCAACCCCGTACAAACCGGAGCGCCTCATCCCGAGCGTTGGATGCCGGGCCACAAGGAAATCTTGGCGCCAACCGACAGCATGAGGGCCACATCATTCCGTGGACAATGGCGCGCGCACGCCAGTCAAGACGGTGCCCAGGCCGACATCCCCCATTCACATCCCATGTCATGCCAAGAAAACACACGGACAGAACCATCGTCACCCAGATACGTACCTCTACATGTGCTGGCGACAAGCTCTCGCAGTCTGAGGGCGGCATGTTTCCTGGTCTCGTCGCTGACCCTGTGCCAGAGGGGACAAATGTCAGTATCATGATTACTCTTACGCTAGAAGAAGGAATGAGAACTGGTGGGCAACTGGGCATCGGGCACGCAACGAAAAGAGCTTGCTGACTTGGGAGGTGCCCGGAGATCCCTGGTGATGGTGTCCAGGGTCTCGAGGGCGAGCTGCTGGCTGTATGGTTGCGCCATGGTGAGAAGGTGAGGGGGGCTCGACGCCGTGGATGGAGATGAGGAGGACGGTCGGGGATGAGAGGGAGATCTGGCTGTCGTTTGTGACCGGCTCAAGGTTGAGGGGGAGGGATTCGGTGACGGGTAGTCGAGGCCGGAAGCTGTTGAGAGGCGACGGGGCGGTTGTCGACAATGTTTCGTATGGTCGCTCGGTCGGTCGGTCGGTCGGTTGGTCAAGGCGCACACAGTCAAGTGAGGCACAAGACAAGACAGGACAGGACAGGATAGGCCAGGACGAGAGACGCGAGGAGAGAAAGCTGTGCTGCCTGCAGCGATATCGAGTGCGCTGCTGTCGCGACGGCGAGGCTTCCCCCCAGATCTTCTGTGCCCTCAGCCGCGCTACGACAGCTTCAGCAGAGGGCAACAGAGACCGCCGAGGCTGCGCGACTGCATGCGATCCGGGATAGCGCGGACGTTGGTTGTCGTCGGGCGATGCGACCGGCCAATGGGGGTCAGAGAGTCCAGGTGGGAGTTTGGGACTTTTGTCGGTCGCGGGGAGGGGATTGGGAGAAGGGAGGTCTTGGAGGTGTGGCTTGTCGTCTGCGACGGGAAGCTCACGAGCCAGGCCGGGGGACTTTTGGGAGAGCTGCGGCAGCGCCAGGCCCAGAGAGATGGATGTCGTCGGCGGTCGGTCTGCCAAGACGCTGGGTTCAGTTCAGTTCAGTTCAGTTAGACAGTTCGCAATGATGGGAGACCCGCCGTCCCAGGTGCGCCACAAAGGACCGAGCTGAGAGGGAGCGAGAGGGCCCTGGAGGGACCTGAGGCGCTGCTGGGGGTTCCAAGGACGGGTTGGACAAAAGATGGGGTAGGTACCGGCGTGATGAACCGGGATGAGTCGAGACTGTGACGGTGGCGGCGATGGTGGGTGAACGAGACAGTGCGATATAGCCCGTTGGGCGATGGCGGGTACCTTTTGCGTGGGTAAACTCCAGTCAGTCTCACACACACACCAGACGCGCCAGCTCTTATCGCGTTATCGCAGGTCCTAACTTACAGTTACCTACTGTAGGCTCCCTTGCGGGCGCGGGCGCTAGCCGTTCTGGGTCGGCTGAGGTATGGAGGGGCTTGCCTGGAGCAAATATGGTGGTGCAGAAGTATATGTATGTATGTCTGTTTTTGTGTGAGGCAAGAGTTTCGAGTTTTGAAACAGCACAAATGAAGGACTTTGACAGGGTTGTTTGCTGTCCAAGAATCAAGACCTCAGTGAATCACTGTCTGCTGGTTTCTGGTGTTGAGAAGTTGTACCGTAGTGTAGTCAATATCGGACTTCTGCATATAACTAGGCTGGTCAGCACGGAGCGTTAAATATGCGCCTAGCCGAAGACAGGCCTTATCGCTTATCGCTATCGCTGGTCCATCTGCCCATCGTCGCCCATCAGGACCCTGACCTGAACCGCCACCCTCTCTACTTTCGACAGTTCCAGCCTTTGCGCCAGAGCGCATTCACACCTCAACCCTAATCTTCCACTGCCGAGGTTGTACACAGGTATAGACGTGGTGCAGGAGTCTGTATAGTCCACCGAAACCACAAGGAAATCGAGCTCATTGCTGGCTACGACAGCCTTCTTTGCTGCCAGAGACAATCTCACGAGCATCTCGCGACTACTTCCTGAACCGACTATACTACAACAATACACCCACAGCGCCTCAACGATTCATCCCCCTCCCTCGCCCTCGACTTCGACTTCGACTTCGACTTCCCTCCACCCTACCATCCCCCCGAAGAGACGAAAAGAGACAACCATCAACCGACCATGGGCAACGACGGCGGCTCCATCCCCAAGCGCCGCGAGCTCGTCAAGAACGCCGGCCGCGCCAAGACGACGACCGAGCTCAAGGAGACCCTGCTCGAGTCGCTGACCCACCTCTGGACCTTCTGCCCGCTGTCGTCGCTGCCGCTCGACCCGGCCCACACCGTGTCCGACGCCCGCGGCCGCCTGTACAGCTACGAGTCGGTGCTGCAGTGCCTGCTGCCCGCCGGCGACGCCGCCGTGCCCGAGGCCCAGGACGACGCCTTCCGCGCCACGCGTATCCGCTCCCTCAAGGACGTCGTGCGCCTCCGCTTCGCCCTGCGCAAGGACGACAGCGGCCGCGAGTTCCGCGCCTGCCCCGTGAGCCTCAAGGAGCTCGGCGCCGCCACCCGCAGCGTCTACCTGGTGCCCTGCGGGCACGTCTTTGCCGAGGTCGCCATGAAGGAGATTGCCGAGGCCGAGAGCGCCTCCAAGGAGCAGCAAGACAGAGAGCAGAGGTGTCCCGAGTGCAGCGAGGCCTTCGAGACGACCAACATCATCCCCATCCTGCCCACCACAGAACCCGAGCTGGCCAGGTTAACAGCGAGGATAGAGGACCTCAAGTCCAAGGGCCTCACGCACGCACTGAAAAAGGACAAGTCGGCCGGCAAGAAGAAGCGGAAAGCCGGCGATGCGGCGGAAGGCGAGGCCGAGAACGGCGCCAACGGAAAGGGCAAGAAGGAAAAGAAAGAAAAGGAGGTCGGCATCGACAGCCGCATCAACAACCCAATGACCGCGTCGCTGACGGCCAGGGTCCTCGCGGAGCAGGAACAGAACAACAAGCGGCGGAAGCTGGCCGAGGGCCTGAAGCGGGAGGCTGTACGATGAGATGTCTGCTGTGGACCTAAGATATAAAATCGCGGAAGCTGCTCCTTGAGACTGGACAGTAAGTCTGCCAATGCATGTAATGAACGCGCAATGATACCTACCACGAAGGAGAGACGGCCACAAGCCGAGAATGCCCAAGCAAGACCTCTATATCATATACCAGTGTGCTTAATTACGAGCAAAGCCCTGTGTCTTGCCGCTTATATTCGTTTACTGTCCATCCTAACTCGTCCTCGGGGCCCTCAGAGAGCCTGGTCGAACGAATGGAAGGTAATAGCGTGCACCAGTGGACATCTCTATGGCCGATAGTTTGCCAGCCCGGTCTACCTACTCCACGAATATGCCAACCTGCTCCCACCGTCTGTGCATGGGGCTGATCAACTAGCATGGTACTACGTTGGAACCGGTGAGCTCCCGCGACATTTTCATTCCGTCTAGCGGACCCTCCAAGCGGCATCTGCCAATGAGAAGCAGTGTTGCATGTTGAACCGGCGTGGCAAGTCAAATTCACTGCAATTTTAACCCCCGCAAAGGGCATCCGCGTACGAGGTCAAAAGCAGTAATATGTACCTCATCTATTGGATAGTCACATAGAATACACCCCTGTGGCTGTGTCTCCGTTCGTCTATGCTGCCAACGCGCCCAACCGGATGATCTTCTCTCGTAAGGGGGGGCCTTCTCAGCAGTCGCCCATGGCTTTTTCTCTCAAGTTGGATATACCATACACGGCGCCGCTTACTCTGCTATACTCTACAGCTCGTCGCGCGACCGGGCGCCGGGCTCCACGGCCTCCTCGCAGGCGGCCGGGGTGCCGACCTCCATCTTGTAGACGCACTTCTCCTGCTCGCTGACGCGCCACAGCTCCTCGGCCTCGGCGCAGCCCAGCCAGACGTCGGTGCGCCGGTTGGGCCCGTTCCAGCAGTGCTGGCCGTTCTCGTAGCGCAGCACCATGCGGCGGCCGCGGCCGAGGCCCTTGCCGTCGTGGCGCGCCTCCTCGTCGCTCTCCTCAAAGTCGATGCGCTCGAAGCTGCCCATGCTGGTCGAGCCCCCGCCCTTCTTGGACTTCTGCGCCGTCTTGCCCAGCCAGCAGAGCTCGTACGTGTACTCGCCCGCGTCGGTGCTCACGCACTTGTCCTTGAGGTACCGGAAGATGTCGTCCTGCCCGTAGTCCTTCTCCAGGTCCTCCTGCTTGTCCTTGACCTCGCGCTCCTTGCCGCTGATGTCCGACTCGACGGACTGCAGGGCCTCGCGCGCCATGGTGACGAGGCGTGACTCGCCCTTGCCGGAGGGGTTGTCGGCCAGGATGCCGTTCTCGATCAGCCAGGCGCGCACGACGTTGAGCTTGTCGTGCACAAAGTCCCGCACCGGGCCCGGAAGGTAGGCTTCCAGGTTATAGACTATTAAAGTAGTTAGCGTGCGTGATCGCGGCTATGATGGGCGTGCCACTGGTCTGGTCTAACTTACGGACGTCGGTGTCGGTGACTTCGCCGTCCTCGTATTCGGACCAGTTGATGCCACTCGACTCGCTGTCCTCCTTCAGCACTTCCTTGATATCGTCGTCGTTGACCTCGTCTTTGGACTCGCCCAGCTTGGCAGCATAGTCCTCCCAGGCGCGGACGGCCTTCTTGACCCCCTCGTCGTTGAAGTTGGGATTGTACTCCTCCTTGAAAGCGGCCAGGATCCCCTCCAGCTCGGTCAACTTGGCCTTGAGCTCGTCTCTCTGGCCGACGAGCAGGCTCAGAGCATCGCGGAGCTCGCCTACTCTTGACTTGGCCAGCCCGACCAGAACGCCCAGCTTGCCGGTGCCCTCGGTCTTGACGACCTTGCCGCGTTCGCTGCGCTCGACCTCGTCGTACTTCTTCTTCAGCTCGACGCGTCTGCCCTCGAGCTCCTTGATCTCGTCGGCCAGCTTGGAAATCTTGGCCTCGACCTGGCGGCGGAGCTCCTTGGACTCCTTGGCCATGGTCCGGCGCTTCTTGTTGGCCCTCTCGAGGTTCTCCCTGCGCTCCTTGTCGACCCGGCGCCACTCCTTGCCGATCTCGGCACAGCGGTTGGGGCACTTGACGCCGCCAACGCCCTTGTATTCCTCGCTGCCGTCACAGCACAGGTCGTAGTCGCAGACGCCATCGTTGACGTACAGGAAGGGGACGTAGGCGCCGATGTGGCCGTCGTTGGCGCACCAGAAGCCCGGCAGGGCATTGGTGGTGTTTGTCGAGCCCGACAGCGACGAGGGCAGGGGCTGTGCGGGTGAGAGATGGTCGAGGTTGGCGCAGGCTGCCGTGCCTGGCTCGTCGGAGCCGTCCGGGCAGTCGCAGGTGTTGTCGTTCACTCTTGATACTGGGAGGACAATGGACGGATGGCCGATGCATGTGAATGTTTCCTTCAGCTCGTAGAATTTAGCGACTGAAAAGGCAGTTGGTCAGCCATCGGATCAACAATCAGCAGGACACGGCAAGCTAGGCACAGGCTCTGTTGTTCATCGCTTGGGTGGGCTCCCATCGAGATGGCTCTCTCCCCGTGGGCAAAGCAATGCGGTGGGTAGGAGGTAGTGCGGTGCCTTGACATCACCGAGAAGGGGCACACTTACACTCGGGACCAACTCCTCTCGGGGCTGAGCCAGCAGCCACGAGGCCGCTGTTGGCAGCGGTGCCCAAGAGCGCCAGAGCGTGCAATTGCCTCATTGTCGTGTGATTGTGTGCTGCCTCCACTTGGAATCAATCGTGAAGGTTGAGCGCTGTCGGATGAGCTGTCCAAAAGAACTGAACACGAAACACAACCAACCGCTGCAGGTGGCCGGGAGCTCCCAACTCGGCACAGCGGGCCCACACCAATAGCTGCCCAGCAAGGCCCCCCAAGCCCGCTGGCAGGACCCAGGCGGCGCTGCTGTGTAGGTACCTAGGTAGGGAGCAACGGACAGACAGCTTCAGCCCCAGGGCCAACCCCCCTGCCCCCGTAACGTCGTGAACCCCCCTGGCCGGCTGCGCTTACGCCACAGTGCAGCGCGGGGAATTTTTACCTCTGAGCCACGCGCAGGGCATAGGTGCGACTTTGGTGAGGGCTGTTCATTGGTGCTCTCGTCCAGCTCAATTGGATGCTGTGTCCGATTTTTGAGAGCTGGTACTCGGAGCGGAGCTTGTCGTATGCTATGCTATGACCAGCTTGACCAGCTCCTAGCTTTAAGTAGTGTTGTCTCACGGTCAACGTTTAACCCCATGTCCTGCCTACCTACCAGTTACCTAAGCTGGGTAATCAAGTATTATACCTGGAGCATGTGACTGCCTTAGGTATACAGGAAGCAAAGGTCTCGCCAACTGCCCTTCCAACGGTGAACCTTTCTACCAATAAGAGGTTGTCAAAGAGGACTACTACTGTCTGCCGAGAAGATCCGTAAGGCAGCTCCAGAGGCAGACCAAGAGGCAGGCCCCTTAGTTGAGACATTTACCGCAGGAAGTTAGCCATTCAGATAATACACGTCTGGGGGCCAAACCGTTCTTCCGTTGAAGGAATTCGTGCCACTGCTACCGCATCGATCGCTATACTCATCAGGCTGTATAATCACTCACTTATAAATATGAATCCCAGTGTCAGATCGGGTTTACTGCAAGATTAAGTCTTGCTGACGCATCACGCCTCCGCAGCTCCGTCCCCCCTTCTTCTGTTTAAGCATACTCTACTGTGGGTATCGTCTCATGGATGCTGGAGGCCCACGACCGTGAACTTACCAAGTCACCTCTTACCTAATGAATCTTCGTGAATTCATCGTACGGACCGGTTTTGCTCCACTGTCTTAGAGCCAGATACGCTTCGTTGATGAGTAAGCAGCCCAGCAGTGCGGTGCACTCTTCAGGTAGCTTGGTGTAGTGGTTATCACACCTGTCTCACACACAGGAGGTCGCCAGTTCGATCCTGGCAGTTATCATCCTTTTTGCCATGTATCACACACACTTGGGGAGTATGTAGCAACTCACCCGGCTCTGGGGTATAGAATAGATATCCTTTTTCTCCTTCTCATCCGTCTGGGTTCCATTTCTTATGATGCGTGTCATTGAAGCTTATCGTTGGTGTGCATCTAAGTGTCGATCTTGGTCTGCTCTTTATTTCCTTTCTCAAACAGGGGTGACCCGATGGGACGTCAAGGGCTCTGGTTGCAACCCATTTTCACATGGTTCCTGACTTGTAGTACCCTGACTAACCTTGCCTACCAGCTGAAAAACCTGCAGATCTTTGACCCCTTTCTTATCGCCGAGAATATAGAATCGGATAACGATCTCCGCTCCTGATCAAGACCCGCTCGAGCCGCTACCCCTTTGGATCTCTATCGGCTGCAGAACCAGCCGCATTCGTTGCTCGCTTACAGCTCACTCACAAATGACTGCAACACGCTCAGACGCTGGATGACCATCGACGACCACGTTAGACGCGCCTAAGCGACTATCCATCTCTTGGTCTTCCCTCAGGGGCTACATCGGTTAACCGTCGTCCTCGGGGTCTCAACTCTTCCCGAAGGTGCCGGTGATGTGACAGCGAAGATCCCTGTTTGGCGACCCGTCCTACCGGGTTCTCCACACACAATTCCCTCGTGGCTTTGGCTTTGAGTTTTGACTGTCGAAACCTTCGGGCCTTCTACTCTGGTGTCTAGGCCCGATTGAGCCAAACCAGGGGCATTCTTCATTCGCGAACCACTCCATGGGCCAATCCCCAAGACCTATAGCCAGTGGGCACTATCGAACTACATGAAGATCCTTCTCTCCTCGGCACCAAGTTGTTCTCCATAGCACCCCCACCCGCCACGCTTCTACACCAGGAGCTACCAGAAACTACAGTAGTTTGTCTCCTGTCGTGCATTAGAGTCGCATTGTCACAGTCGGCGATGGCTGTGTCTGTGCGGAATGACACAAGGATACGATGTTGACAGAACACTACGGGCCTTGGGGTGGGGACGTCTCTCTCGATAGTCAGTCAGCACTGTCCCCAACAGTCCATAGGAGAAGCGAAGAAGTTTCCGCCAGAAGAGCTTAAATGCTGATCTTGGTACATGTGGCGTTCCGCTTTGACACGCCTTATCCTGGTCAGAGTTCCGCTGTGGGACACCTCCATATTCCCACGAGGCGGCGAGACATGTCTCATATACTGTGCGCAGTGTCGCATTTTCTCTTAGAATCTGGGGCTCCTCTCCCCATTTACAACTTCGTCATGCGCGGGAAATAACTCGGTGCAACGAGCAATGTATCTACGCCTCAGGACCATCCTTTGTGGTCTGCTATGGACAGCCCCGATCCTGGCACAGGTTACCTCTGAGGATCTTCCATCATGTGCTGTAAGCGAATACACAGAGGCGGCCTTTCTAGGGATGGGGGTTGGCCCTTTGATGGATGTAGCTGACTCTTGGTGACCAGCTTGACTGTTTCGAGACTGCTCCGCCGAGTAATGCCTCCTCGCCATCCTGCAGTTTAGACCCGAACAAGGACTTCGAAGAGACATTCTCACCATGCTTCTATTCCGCCTGCTCCGTACACGATGCCTTAACAGCCCTCAATGTGACGTCCATCATTTGTGATCGGCCGGTGCGCGATATCACCTGGGCTATTCGAGGGTTTGTGCTCGCTTCCACCACAGTCGCCTCGGGTGTCATTGGCCTTCGCGTGCTCTATAAAACCAGAGGACTGGCTGGTGGGATTGGCTGGGACGACTATACCATTGTGATTGGTGTGGTAAGACAGGAGCAGCCATCTGACTGGTGTACTAAATTTGCTTACACTCCATGATAGGTCGTCACCATGGTTGCGGCGATTGGACAATTTCTAGGTATGCGCTTTCAGGTTCATCTCGGACGATCGTTTCTAACCTTCCAACAGCCGCCTGGTATGGAATGGGACGCGATCAATGGAAGGTTCCGACCGAAGATATCACGAAGGTTTACAAGGTTGGTGCCTCCCCTTTCTCTAATATCCTTGCATTGGTTTACTCTTCTCACTCTGTATAGTGTTTCTTCATCGCCGCCGTCGGATATAAGCTCGGCAACGCAGCGACACGAGTTTCGCTCCTTTGCTTCTATCTACGCATATTTGGAAAAGGCTCTGCCCAAAACACTGTCATGGCTTGCATCGTCCTGACCATCATCATCGGCATAACGTTCGCCCTTGCTGATGCACTTCAGTGCCAGCCCGTCTGGAGCTTCTGGGAAGGATGGGATGGCGAGCTGTCTGGACACTGCGGAAGCCTCAGTGCCATCTCATGGGCTCACTCCATCTTCAACATCGTCCTGGATGTTGCAACATTGGGAATTGCTTTTTGGATGGTTCATAAGCTCCATATGCGCTGGAAGAGGAAGGCCGCTGTGATTGCGATGTTCCTTCTTGGATCTGCGTGAGTGCTGCCCTGCTCTATTGGACCCCCCTCAGGTTGGAAAATGATTAACGCTTCTCTTCATAGGATCACTCTGGTTTCCTTCTTACGGCTGCAGGCACTCCCGCAGTTGTCGAATACTCGCAACCGAACGTGGAACCTGGCACCGGTATCATACTGGTCCGCAATCGAAATGTTCGCTGGCATGGTTTGCGCATGCTTGCCCGCGCTGAGGAAGTTGGGTGACACGATGTGTGGCTCAGGCCGAAGTGGCACGCGTACCGCAACCAACGGCTATGAGCGACAGGCTTCTGATCAGAGACCGAGCAAAGTCAGGACAACTGATCCAACTCTTACCTTTTCGGAAAATGATGACCTGGAGGCCAACCCAACGACTCGTGACAGGAACGTCGACACCGAGATGGGGGTGTTAACAGAGAGGAAGGATGATGTATCAATCACTACTGAGACCCATCAGGCCCCTTGGGATGCAACAAAGGGGAATAGCTAGTTAATGACTAATATGTGTAATGGGAGTGGAATAATACTATAATCAATCACGACGAAAAAACAGAAATACAGCGAATAATCACAGGTCAATAAAGGGTGATATATGACATTGGTGTGATGCGATATTCTGGGAATATCGTCTACATTGCCAAGTCCCTGGCTGCTACATGAACGGGTTGTGCAACGTTAGTGAGATGCAACACACTGCACCAGAAGACAGTCAGAAACCCTATGTAGGGTTATGCTTAGACGCAGAGGAAAACATTGAAAATGTTTAATGCCGTGAGGCATTGACAGTCTCAGCAGATGACACCAGCAAGAACTTAACTCGGAGGGACGACCAACAATATTCTACTTTCTAGATTGAATGGGACCGGGATTTGGACTCAGCGACTTTCCCACTTGTGGTGATGAGGAAACGTTTTTCAGTCGTTGGGGCTTACCAACGAGGCGTATACTCCTAGTATATTCATTGGATCAAATTGGGTATGAAAATAGTACTTCGAGAATGAAGGGCCCATTGTGATCTCGTTGCAAAGCGGTTTTACAAGCGCAAATATGGTCTTGGTATGAGCCGAGAGGTTACTAGATTTAATGCAACCTCAAACTCGGTACGAAAACTACCTTGAAACTTACATTTCAAGCTGTCTACGATTGTAGTTAATGCTGGATGCATTCCTATATTCGTATCATTGAATTGAAGTCAAAATTGACCGGTGTGCTTATATTTCGTCGGCTAAGCAATGTTCATGGGGTTCAGCGACAGAAAATACCGTCGACGTGACAACAGGAAACCTAAACCCCATATATTTGTTCTTGAACAAGATGTCTGAATTTCTTAACACACAGAGTAGGTACGGAGATAAATGTACAGTCTATCTAGTGCTGCGTTTTACAAGCACGGTTTAATAGATCGGGCTGTCCAACGGCTCTGTTACTGATTTAGTGTGTGGTTCACATTTCGACGGCAAGTCGGGTTTTGTCATCATTACTGTGAATGGCTATTATAACATTGGTGTTTACTTTACTTCTCTGGCTTTTAGATACATATCTACTTTTTAAACAAAGGAGGCCTACCAGACTGAACTAGCCACGCTGATAGGCCTTAGCTGGTCGTAATACATTCTCTGCTTCTCTCAGTCTACACGTATATACCAAAGGGGGAGTCCAATTAACAGCAAAATCATCGTTTTCGTTATCTACCAGTGTATCCGATTTTATGTCGCTGACTGTTAAGGAACGCATGCAGGCAGGCCTCAATGACATCATTGGATACACTTACGATCCGGTTTCGAATGTGTCATACTCGGTCGAATATACATTTCATTGCATCAGGATTCTGCGCTCTCTTTAGATAGTTCAGCTCAGAGTTAAGACAATGATCTAAGGCCACATCTCAGTGTTATTCAATATGGGTAGGGATCTTGGCATGCAGGAGGGGAAAGCGCTCAACACACAGTGGACCGTTTCGAAAGTATCCAATGACGTAAGCTCCAAGGAGAGAAGTGGTGGTAATTAGCGAGTACTTACACCAGACTTCACAGTAGAGCTCGTTGTCGAACTATGAAGTTTACTGAATACTTTGCCGTCGACTCTCAACAGTTCTCCAATATATGTTGCGAAGTCCAATCACCAACGCACTTAGTGGAGAGTAGTCACTGTTACAATGTTTGGTCAGAAGCGTGTGGGGGAGCTAGGTATCCACAATAAATCTGGCCAAATGCCGAAATGACCCCGTTCGATTCGATCGACAGGGCCCAGGCAAGTGCCGAGAGGGTCATTGCGCCTTGGCTCCAATGATCAAGTCTTGGAAAACGGTGTGGCACTAAGCCTGCTCCGCAAAGACCATATCACTGTGCAGAACTTCTCATGATCCAATCGCATCATGACGAAACGTAGGCCATCTCAAAAGAATTGAACATACTGACGGAACGGCACGCATAGCCCCGCTAATCCCAAGGCTACAATAGTCAAAGTGGGGTCATGAATGAATAACTTGGCTGCTATGCATCATGCTAGGATAGTGTCCACCACTCACGGGATCCCATGTTCGCTTTTAAGAAGGAATCTTAAACTTCTACCCCAGATGGAGCCGCACAAGTTGCAGGGATTGACGGCGGCCCGCGGTTGAGCCATTGCCTAGGCACATGTGAAACCTCTGGCCAGTAGCTGGACTTGAGGGCACTCTCGCGAGATATAATGGCTTGGAGGTTTCGGCCAAGAGCCCAAGACAGAGATCACAGCATCTTCTATGGTACTTCCTAGTTCCAAAATGCATCCCTCGGCGGCGTGGACTTTATTACTCGCCCAAACAGCATTCTCACAGAAGACACAGGTGGATTCAGCATTACTCGCAACATTTGAACGTTACGCCGCCTTTGCCTCTGCGTCCTATAGCTCCGACTGCGATGACCCACCATTCGGCAGTGTTGCAGAGAAATACATCAACGATGTCGCAACTAGCACGCAGGCGACCTTGTTCAGGGACGACGCTGCCCAGGAATACGTGGTGTCATTCCGCGGGACATCCGACGTCCAAGACTTCGTGACTGACCTGGATCAGAAGCTCGTGTCTTGTGTTGCACCAGGGCTTCAGTGCTTAGGATGCACAGTGAGTCAGAATACGAGGAGGATGAGCACGTTGTCCATGGTTCAAGTTCTGATATCAAAGCATAATAGTGTGCACAGGGCTATTTACGCCAGTACAATGCTGTTGCCGCAGAGGTCAAGAGCGCCATCGACTCTGGCATCGGGAAACACCCAGGATATAGCCTTGTCATCACAGGGCACAGCATGGGCGGCGCGCTGGCATCTCTTGGCGCAGCCTCGCTCCACGGACAAGGGCTGAGCTTAGTCACTTACACGTATGGCCAACCGCGGACAGGTGATCAGACGTATGCCGACTTCATCGATGCTATGTTCAACGGGACAATGTATCGACTGACTCACAAGAATGACGGCGTGCCTCAGATCCCGCCACAGAGCGACGGATACCGACACCACAGCACGGAATACTGGCAGAGCGATGATCCACCGACAACCGCAAACACGTTTCGGTGCCAAGGCCAAGAGCCAAGTGATTGCAACCAAAGTGAGATCGGATTTGGTATAGGCAATGGCGGACGAGGCATCAATTTGGCTCATTTGAGCTATTTTGGGGTCAGCATTGGCAACCCTCTAAATCCAAATGCCGCGTGTTAAGGGCGCCAAGTAGAACAAATAGGAAAACCAGCGTGGCAGTCGTGATTCCCCCGAATTGATCCCCGCTTATGACCTTCCTCGCAGTGAATACAAACAGGATGCATCAATATCGTATGATTGTCAAGGTAGATCTGCAGGCTTGTTGCAACACAAGAAAATAAGATGCTTGGCATGGCGTTTCAATACGCAGCTCAGGTCTTGGTACTGCTAGTGGACCAGAATACACAATACCGCCTCCGACGGTGATACATAGCTTTGAAACTCTGGCCAAGAATGTAGATCTAAAGAACAACTCATTGGGATGTTGCGTTGTTTAGTATCGTAGGTAGCAAGTTGCGCAGGTGGCATTGAAGCATTGTGTGGGTATAGAGCACGAGCTTATGTGGGACTTGGCTATAATCGTTGGTGGGTCAGCGCAGCCAATGAAAGCCAACGGACTGATTGAGATGTGCAAGTCAAGATTCCACTCAAGCTTCTGTCCTGCGAAGCCAAGAGTCAAGCTTTTATGGCCGGATTCAGAGTTTTCACTTCCAATACTTTCGCAGTCAAGGGCGCGCGCGATATGATTTGCCTATCGTTTAGTTGGCGAATAAATAACAGACCGATTTAGTGAAGTGGTGCATAATTGTCATCATAGCGACGACTATACTGTACTCTACTTACCGCGAATCTGGAATATTCTGGCGCCTGCGATGGAAAAGGATTATGCAGGCGAGTCATAGAGTTGCTTTGCCAATGTCGGGTAGTTTCATGGAGAATACCCAGCCCTGCCAGCTTAGGCGACTGGCGTATAAGGGATGTGCACATAATGACCCCGGCGAAATGTGGGGACCGCATCTTTGCCTCCTTTTAGAAGTGTATAGAGCACAATATGGCTTCCGTGTCTCGAAAGAGATCCCGAGGTAAAGGGGTAACGGGGTCACTGAAATGCTGCTACGTACATCTCACGAGGGCAGGATTGGAAGGGTGCCATCTATCTCCGGTTTTCTGCTTAGCAGCGCATCTTCTTCGGGTAACTAAACTTGGCATACCAGCCAAGCAGCTGTTCAAAGCGGGCTTTGACAAATAATAATGATTCTATGAATGTCAAAACCCAACACTAGATCGTAAGGCACATATGAACCCCCACTGTTCTATTTGTTTGAGGGATTTGGGGAGATGTCCAATTGGACTGGAGAAAATAGCTCTAGAATCAACATTTGAAACAGAACAATAGCCAATATAGATGGAGATCGCTCTGTAGAGGCACGGGATGTAAGCATTGCCCAGAGTTACCAAGAACTCCTCGGTCGCTCAATGGGGCATGGTCGTGGCCGTTCTTGGTGACGGTGCATTGCATGATTTCTTATGTACTCGATCCCAGTCCGATGGGAATTTTGGCCTGCGTCCGCGGGAGCCCGGGGTACTAGATCCCCCTGGAGAGTCGACACGCGACGCAGTGTTATGGCAAGCCACAGAGTGAAAGCCTAACTGAGACTGGTGCTGCTCTGTACTATTGAAGCCACCGTCTAGAGAAACCCGGTCTCGACCCAGATTGATCAGATCCAACATACGGGCATGGAGCGATCTTGTTTGCTTCGCTATGCCGCGAGGAGCATGCTCTCATGGTGGACTTGGATTGGACGATGCTGTTCTGAAGGATGGAGTGGCGATTGAGCTGGAACATCATCTTCACGACATGATTGACGCGAGTAGTAATCCCTCAGATGTCGAAGGATTAGGTACGAGTTATCAATCGTGCATCGGCGTTTCCAGTTTAGAGGCAAGGTCTGGAAGCATGAAAATTGTTTGAGAAACCTTGGTCGCCACGCCACGACATGCGATCGTCCTCTAGTGTTCTGGGCAGACGCAAGACAGTGCCATGGCGGCGATCACGGAACAGGCCGGCCCAGTCAGTTAGGTTGCCGTTGGCTGGCAACTGGGAGGGCAACAGGCCAGAGAGCCTTCCAGGTTGTGTGTGTCCCCAAAAAAGCAAGAGACACAGAGCGAGATGGGTCGAAAAGGTCGACCGATGAGAACCGCCGGCGCGAAGCTTACCGTAGTACGGGCTCAGTCCCGACAGCCAGGTTCCAGCGGAGCAATAGTCGTCTTTGTCGTGTGATGCGTGCAGCAGTTTAATGACCGGATGGGGATTTTAGTCAAGGCATAGTCCGCAGTCCACACGAGTCCAGTCTTCTGCGCAGGAGAGAGTCTTGGAATATGCGGCGGCGGCAGCCAATGGGGAGGGCGGACGGCGCTCGCGATCGCCCACGTGCCTGGTGCGCGCCGTGCGATTGTCTTCCGTGCAGCTGGGCCGCGGTGCGGAGCTTCTAGTCGTCTTCTATGCAATCGAGTCGAGAAGGCCCGCGAAACGAGAGGTTGCTCGCGTGCCAAGGCCCCAGGACTGCAACGGGCTTGGGGTCGGTTTGCTGTGGCTTGGCCGGCCGCGATCCACAGGAACCGTTTCGAGCACACACGTGGGGAGTTCGAGCGCTCTCATTCGAGATCCGGGGAAGCGCTTGGCCCTGCCGCCAAGGCCCGCTACGAGCCTCATCCGCTCCACGGCCTTGCTCGCACTACCTCCCACCACGCCCACGCCCGCCAGGACGCCCAATCTTTTTCGCCGTCGATGCGTTTCGCGGCGGACATGAACTCCCCTTCTAGGCTCGCCAAGAACGATATCTCGGTAGCGTCTTCAGCTGGGCAGTTTCGATCCAGACAATTGCGTGCAGCAGCCGGTACGGCCGCCTGCGCCCGCAGGGCTTGTTCTGCCACGGGCGAATCACAGACTGCCGTTGGGGAACGCGCAGCCGACCCGGGGCCCAGGAGGGAGCTTGATCGTGCTCGGCCACGGCGAATCCTTCGTCGTCCTGGGGGGCGTCCCCGAAAGTCGAACGCCTCTTCACAGGCAAGACAGGCTTGACAGGCATCTCGGTCTCCCAAGAGAGTAAGTGGACATGGTGGGGGCATGCGACTGCATGGCGCGGCTGGGCAGAGACAGGGAGGTTATGTCGGGGAGTATTGTCTGTAGATAACACATAAAAAGATCTCGGTGTCTCGCTCCTCTTCGTCCTTGTCCTTGCTTCTGCACTCCAAGTCGCAACACCACCTGCAGCTGACAAGTCTGACATCTGCACGGCACGCCCGCAACGTAGTCAAGATGGCGCTCGATCAGTACACCTACGTCTTTGTCATTGGCACATTCTTTGCCATGCTGGATGCCTACAACAACGGTGCCAGTAAGTACAGCTCGAGACCAGCTGGAACCTCTTCGTCTGTGTGAGTATAGGGACTGACATGGTGCCTCTAGACGATGTTGCCAACGCCTGGGCCACCTCGGTCTCCTCGAGGTCCATTTCTTATAGACAGGCCATGATTTTCGGTACGATATTCGAGATGCTCGGTGCTATCACTGTCGGTGCGCGAACGGCCGACACCATCAAGAACGGCATCATCCCCAACGCCGCCTTCCGTGGCGATGCTGGTGTTCAGATGCTGGCTTTCACCTGTGCTCTGGCGGCTGCTTCCACCTGGGTCATGTGGTGTACACGCCACTCGGCCCACGTTTCTTCCACCTACTCCTTGATCTCGGCTGTTGCTGGTGTCGGTGTCGCTACTGTTGGTGCTAAGCAGGTACAATGGGGCTGGTATGATGGAAAGGGTCTCGGTGCCATCTTTGCCGGTCTCTTCATGGCTCCTTGCATCTCCGCTGGCTTTGGTGCCGCCATCTTCATGCTCATCAAGGTCATCGTCCACATGCGCAAGAACCCCGTCCCCTGGGCCGTCTGGTCGTCGCCCTTCTTCTTCCTCGTTGCTGGCACCATCTGCACGCTGTCCATCGTCTACAAGGGTTCTCCCAACCTCGGCCTGAACAAGAAGCCTGCGTGGTACATCGCTGCTGTCACTCTGGGCGTCGGAGGTGGTCTCTGCGTCCTGTCCGCCATCTTCTTCGTGCCTTTCATCTACTCCAAGGTCATCAAGAAGGACCAGAGCGTCAAGTGGTGGATGTTCATCTACGGACCTGCCCTCCTCAAGCGCCCGGTCGTTGCAGAGGGTGAGCAGGCCAAGGTTCCTAACTACGCTGTGGTGCAGGATGATGACGAGGACGAATCCTCGGCTCGCTCTGCCGCCTCCATTGGCGAGTCTACCGAGGGTGCCAACAACGAGAAGAAGCTGGTCGAGAGCGAGACCAAGCAGTTGAGCTACAAGGAGATGCAGGAGGCTGGCGACCGCAAGCTGAAGGCCAAGCTTATGGAGAAGAAGGGCCCCATGGGCTGGGCTCTGCGCACTCTTCGCGACAACCCCATGGGCCCCGGCCAGATCTACGAGCTCAACAACATCAAGATTCTGTTCAAGCGCATCCCTGCCATGGTCGTCTGCGGTCTCCTCTACGGTCTTCACTACGATATCCACGCTGCCCAGACTGGTGTTTCCGGGACCCCTGACGGTGCTCGCATGCAGAGAGTCTACGCTCACGCTGAGAAGTACCCCAACGAGACTGAGCACACCTACTCTTTCATCCAGATCATCACTGCCTGCACTGCCTCGTTCGCCCACGGTGCCAACGATATTGGTAACTCTGTCGGACCCTGGGCTGTCATCTACTCCGCTTGGTCCACTGGCAGCGCTGCTGCCGCCAAGGCTGATGTCCCCGTCTGGCAACTCGCTGTTCTCTCGGCTACCATCTCTCTGGGTCTCATTACCTACGGTTACAACATCATGAAGGGTAAGAACTGAAATTCATCTTCAAAATGTCACCGGAAGCCATTGCTAACTTTGTGCACAGTCATGGGTAACAAGATCACCTACCACTCGCCTAGCCGTGGTTCCTCCATGGAGATGGGTGCTGCCATCACTGTCCTGGTCTTCTCCCAGTACTCGCTCCCCGTCTCCACCTCGATGTGCATCACTGGTGCCACCGTCGGTGTCGGTCTCTGCAACGGTACTCTCAAGGCCGTCAACTGGCAGCGAGTCGGTCTCCTGCTGTTTTCGTGGATCATGACCATCCCCATTGCCGGCACCCTCGGTGGTGTTCTCATGGGTCTCTTCCTCAACGCTCCCCACTTCTCTTCCTAAGCGGGGCGCGTTTCCTTCCAACACATTTTCTCATCGATACCCGCATGTCTCTAGATATGTCACATAGACTGTACTCATCTGAGATGTACATCAATCATCTACAGTAGATATAATATAAAAGTACTCTTGAAATTTACTCGAGCCTCGCATAATCTGCCGTGTGAATCCCCCGACATTACGAACGATCCATAGCGTAGAGTGACTAGGGAATAGTAAGTGCTACTTGCTCTTTGAATCGATTTTTCGTTCTCTCAATACAGTGGATAAAGGTACTCTGGTTCCTGGTCGGTATCACCGTTCATGACGAAACCTTCCTCCATATATGAAAACAGTGAAAGCTGTAGCGCAGGTGTCCCACTTTCAATATGGCCAAAAAAACAACGACAACGTAGATCTCTCAAGGAGCGGCTACCGCCTTTGCACCCTGAGGTAGTTCGAATACCTTGCCAGGGTTCATAAGCCATCTGATGATTGTTGAATTAGTTATTTCTTCGGCTCAAATCGGGATCATGTACGCACTTTGGATCCACCGCGCTCTTCAAATTCTTCATGATCTGAATAGTGTCAGGGCCAAGCTCATCCACTAGACACCCCTATGATTGGATTTAGCGCATGTCGCCATTGCAGATTACGTCTGAACGGTACCTTCTTTCCAATACCAATCGCATGTTCCCCCTACCGTCATTCAGCATACTGATTGTAGAGAACCCCAGCAGATAAGCGTGAGCTTACCGAGACAGTTCCTTCCATCTGTATTGCCCGGTCCATCATATCATGTACACATGCTGTGACGGCCTCTGTCTGCGATTTATCCTTTGGATCATACATGGCAGCTTGGTGGAAGTTGCCATCACCGACATGACCCATGATACTGGCGAACAGACCGAGCTTTGCAGCTGCCTCCTTCGAGGAATCTTTAGGGGCGAGCGACGGGTTACCAAATAGTGCTCATTTGAGGTGGTCAGTTTTGGCTTACCGATGATTTCGGCGAGTCGAGAGATGGGAACCGCGACATCCGTGGACCATATGTTGTAGCCTTCTGGTTTGATGGAGGTCATCGTCCACAAAGCTTCCTTTCTACCGGCCCAAAGATCGACCTCATCCTTCTTATTCTTTGCGAAGACGAAACGCCCGGGTTGATATGGCTGTACGATAGTCTCTACGTTTGAGATGTCATTGTTGATACTTGCTGTTGTGCCCGAGAATCTGTTGCGATCAAGTCAACATGAGACCAGCCATAAATTCCCATGGGAGAATCACTTAAGAAACAAGGTCGGACGTTCGTCCCACGTGCGCGACCGTACTGCAGCGCTGCCATGCTTATTGAGGACAGCCATTTGAACATCATCCATGAGCTCCAGTGCCGCAAGCTGAAGCCCTGACCGTATCAGACTGGTAGCGGCTCCAGCAGCATCCTTGATCGTCGGGAAAGAGACCACTGCAACGCTCGTATCCTGTGGAATAACCGCGAGTTTGACGGTAACCTCGGTGACAAGTCCTAGGGTTCCTTCAGCTCCTACAAACAGTGAAGTCAGGTTGTATCCGGCAGAGGTTTTCCTGGGCCGGTGCCTGGTCTTGATAATCTGGCCATTTGCGAGAACCACCGTCAGATTGACAACCCAGTCCTTCATCGTACCGTAGCGAAATGCATTTGTACCGCTTACACGGCTGTCAGAATGGCGTTTTCTCTGAGCTGAAGCCACTCACCTGCAGTTGGTTGACACCATGCCCCCAATGGTTGCGGTCGGCGATGGGTCCATCGGAAGAAACAATCCGTCGTCCTTGATCTGCTCGTTAAGAGTCGTCCAGTTTACTCCTGGCTGCACGGTGACATCCATACTGTTGTAGTTGTCAGACTACTGCTAGAAAAATCTAATCGATTCCAGTACAGCTTACTCGTTCGGCCGGAACGCGACGACTTGGTCCATGTTGGTAAAGTCTACGCATATGCCACTGTACGGCGACGAGAAACTGCCCTCCACGGAAGATCCAGCGCCGAAGGGTACTGCGTCACTTTAGCAAGGTTTTGGACTGTATTTTGGAATTATCGTTACCTATTGGTGTATCATGCTGACTGCAAATCTGGGCGATCTTAGAGACATCTTCGGTTGACTTGGGGTACACAACAGCGACGGGTCGACCGGTGGAGTTCGAAGTGGACCAATCTGAGTAGCCATGGGCCTCAATGTCGTCTTCGTCGTAGCTAACACCGTCCTCACCGAGCACCGCTTCAATTGCATGCGCTGCCTGGAGACGAGTACGTGTTACTGGTGGCACCTCTAGAGCAGACGCATCCCGTCGTTACCTTTAACATTGTGCCTCTGTCTGCATACTGGATACGCTGTTCTGACGGAAAAGGCTTAGAAGCCAGTAGGACACCAATCCCGACACCTACAGAGCCAACAGCGATGTTTGTGAGGAGGTGCGTTCTTCCCATTCTGCGGCTTGCAGTGGACGCATTTCGATGGCACTGAGCCGAGGCCGGCGATGCCTGGTTATGGCGTGATGAGATGACACGAGATCTGCGGACAGTCTTGTGAAACGATAGAACCCTACTGCGCAGCATCGTTCTTGCTCAATAGGCACTGGCTATCATCAGTAGATGATATGGATGGACGACTGGAGTGCTGCCGATTCTGAAGCCGGCAATCATGAATGATAACAGAAGCCGATGCATCTGAGCGGGTCCACGCAACACGGGTTCAGTGGCGCTAGCAGGGTATTGGATGCTACCCCTCCTGTTGATGCTTATATCCGGACATCCAGCATCCAGCATCGAACACCACTTTGCAGCGAGCTCCGCACGTGGTTAAAGAATTCACATTGTCCAGCCATATACCAGGGTGCATGCAGTCAAAATAAATCACACGTCCAAACTCATAATACGGTTGCTTCATATCGTAGACTTCTGTTCTCCACCCCTCCACATGGTAGACCAGTCGAAGAAAACAAAACGAAAAAAATCGCCTTGTTCACAATTATCGCAGGTAACGGACCATGCCAACTCAGGAACCAAATCAGATCTGGCAAGCCGAGCCTATTGACTATGAACGACGAGACCGCTCATGGAGTTGATATGGCCGGGCCTGCCGCTCATGTCGTAATACGAGACGTGGGATCTGATTACTACCGAGGAACTGCTCGACAAGATGGAAAACGAATATGTATTGCTTAGGATTAAGAAATCTCTGGTCATTGGTTTCTATGTGGACACATTTCTACCAGCAGAGAGAATAAGCATAAGTAAACTCTCATTAGTGCAATACTTTAGCTCATTGCACTTTGGGTTTAGAAGTATTGTCCGAGGCTTGTCATTTGCAGTTTCGCATCCGGCTAACCATAAGCATGGCATGTTTTATCAATGATGGTCGATCAAGTAATCACAAAGCTACTGATCATGATATTCGTTAAGAGATTGGCAGTATGTCACAAGGAGAGTGTCCTTCTTATTTGCTAAAGACCTATCTAGTGTTTCAAATCATTGCTTGACTGAAATTCTTAAATGTACTACTTCTTGACAGTGGATGTGCCAGAGTTGTTGCTGTATGTGCCACTGCCACCGGACACGTTGCTGCTAGAGCTGTCCGATGAGTCTCTGCTGGAGTAGCCAGCGCTCTCGCCAGGCTCTACAGCCTTGAAGGAGCTGTCGATGGAGGTGCGAGCACCCTCTGAGTCTTTCCTGCCATCTGTGTCGGAGGCGTTAGTGGCGGTCGTGGTGTTCGTGGCGGCCGAGGTGTCGGAGGGCTTGGGTTCCTTGGTTGACTTTTGACCCATGGCTGTGTTTGATAGTAGGCTTAATAGGCTAAGTGGGCGGTTTTATATGTGTGTTCGTCTATCTAACGTTGGTTTAAATGGAATGTATTGGGAAAGAGGCTCTAAAGTCTGGCCAAAGTTTGCGCTTTATAGTTGATTGCATGCTGTGATTCACAGAAACGGCTGACTGATTAAACGCGAAAGCTTTTGGCGTCAGCGGCGCCATAGCGCGAGGGTAGAAGTTGCTTTGGGAGGTCAACAAGGTGATTAGATCACAACCTCGCCTCTCCCTAGGTATATGGTCAAGAATCACTCGGCACCAAATGCGGTGTGAAATACAGAACAGATAGGGTGTGGGAATGAGGTCGTGGTCGATGAGTGAGACCTCTCCCACTTCATATGAGGGAGCATTTTTACGTTTTAATCATCAAAGACACATCTTGGTTCCGAGGAGCGATACAAGTTCGTCACTGCTCACAGGTCATACCTTGGGCGACTCAATAAGTCTTTCCAGATTTGAAGGTCAAATTCGCTTCATTTAAAACCGTGGACGCCCAGACCACTGGCCTTCGCTCGAACCACCTAGGAGATTTGGATCGCACTTGTTCACGAAGGGTAAAGGGTGATGAGCTGATATCACCCCCCAGTATAAAGCATGTTCGGTGATGGTGTGCGGCCCTGGGTTCCGTGCCATAGACACTTTACACCCTGGCACCAAACGAAAGAATATAGCGACACTAAATAGTGAAAATGTGAGCCCAAACCCCCGCGGTAACGCCAACTGACCCGGCGCCTTCGCTCCAGACGCCAATGGAGTTGTAGTATTGCCAACTCAGCAAGTAGTTGCAACCCCGGTGGCGATATCAATGCCACCCCTCTTTCTAAACCCACCGCAAAATGGCCCACTACCATCATTTCAGTTATCGCGACCAGCCCAGAAGGCTCAATTGCAAAGGCCATTTGTGCCTTCTGGCTCTCAAGGTTATATACAATTTCTGAACATCCTGCCTGTAATCCCAGGAAGTATTGTTCGTCCTCATGTCTCGCATCATGGCCGGGTGGATATGGACGAGACCCCACATGAGAGAAGGGAGAGACGGCACCGCAGGCCAGACACGGAGTTCACTTTGCTTCACATAAGTGCTACGTTCATTACACAGCAGACTTCACCAAATCGGTCTCGACCACAACATTCAGATCGTGCAAGGGACCAGTTCCGCTATACTAATATACCGAGTGGCCAGTCGACGTATACCGATGTTCCTATTGCTCCCCTTGGACATCGCCCCGCAGCATCGGAATTCATCGGGTTCTCGAACTTTGTTATATCTATCACGTGGCCATCCGAGACAACGACACAGTCGTAGGGAGAGCACTACGAGGAAATAAAGCTGTTTGTATTAAAAATCGTGGAATGTGTGCAGGCTATCGATATCTATATTACTGCCACCTGATTCGTGGTTACGTGGGCGGGCGTAAAGGTTGAGACCCAAGCTAGCAGGTCAGTGCCATATACCACCTATCTTGCTTCATAGTCCCCCATATTACCGAGGTGTCCCCTGAAAGAGTCATCTTGGCATAAAAACTGGTCGGAACCATCGCCCAGCCCTACACCTGCGATCCGGCACATAGCCATGTACTGAGTCGTATGGCCAGTTCTCGCTATACCTTTAACTCTGACCTTGCTGCACATGGATACAGAATGGCTGTCACCTGCCTTGCTCGTAGGACTTACACATGTCCTGCCTAGGGAAAATTTCACCAATGGATCATATCTTGTTATAAATTAGTGCAATACTAGCCACAACAAAGTTTCATCGTCTAGCCAATAAGTATTGCGTCAAAGTACCAAATATGCATAACCAAACGAGGAAGGTTGGCTGGCTAACTAAGCGACTTTCGAAAACGCCGTCGAAACTATCAACGAATGGGGCTGCCTTTCTATTGTGATGAATCTTCATTTCTCTCTGAGAATCATGCTCATAGAGTATTCCCGGCGAAATCCAGGTTCGATTCCTGGTTGCCGCAAATAATCATGTGGAGGGCAATATTAGGATTGCGTGTGTTCTATTGGGTGCGGCTAAGGTTCATTTAGTACTGATACCTGGACCGGTGGCTAATCTACCTTCTGTGATTTGTAGGCCATAAACCTCTCTGAATAAATTGAACGAATTGGCCAATCTCACGGCGAATGTGGGTTTTGTTTTTCAAGCACTTGCTCGTCTCACTGGCCAACAACGGCCGATAACGGCCAGCTGAGTCGTCACTTCAGAAGTGTCAACTATAACCATATTATGCAGTGAATACATCCTCAGCAATGGCCGTCCGACGTGCCTGCTCTTCTGTTGACAGTGAACCTGGTGGCTATGGCTATGCTGGGGAATCTCGACGACGTGGTTTCGTTGTAGAACTCCCACACTACACATTCGCCCTACTGTGAAGCATTATGATTTCGGTCCTCTGCTGGATGTTCCGCCCTGCCGGTGGCATTATTTCACTCGTATGGGAGGCAGGGCGATGACGACACCATTGATGATCGCTGAGAATCGTCAATCAAAGTAATCAAAGCCATCTTCCATAGTCAAAGTTCGTTCGAATCAATATTTTCGTAGCAAGTACCCGTAGTAACCCAAACCCAATGTTCCTTCACTACCTACTGGAATCCTAGCACATGAGACGAAATAGCTGGCTTAGTAGGGTACATATGCCACGGCTAAGTGTGTTTGTTAGCAATTAGTTCCAAGCAAAGCGACGTAACTACAGCAAACCGACCAAGCGTCTAAACGGAATTGGTTTGCCTGATCGCAAGCATAAATAGACCACGAAAGCTTTGTTCTGAGTTGAACATCTTCTTTCCTACCTTCCTAAAGAGTGCGCAGCCGACTGAGTATACGCGCTGTCCCACGCCGCCGCCTACTTGGGACTCATGTCCTAAAGACGTCAGCCAACAAATACCGGCTCACTCATACAGCACAAAGACCAGCTGGATAAAGTGTTGTAAATCAGGATTTACGCCAGATAATGTAACGCGGAGCCGGGGCTAGTTTGGACCAGGAACGATTCTCAGGACTGAAACAATTACACCATCATAGGTGAGACATCCTGAACCATTGGGATTGTCAACATTACCACCAGGAGGGAACGAATGGAGCGAAAACAAACGTCATTGGTTATCAGATCGTGTTGAAAATCTAATATCGCCAAGTCCGGGCCAGCAGACAAAAAAAAAAAAAGGAAGGAAAGAGAAAATATAAAATTCAAAAGAAATGTTAATGCGGCAACCAGGAATCGAACCTGGATTTCGTCGGGATTACTCCACAACGACGTGTACTAACCGTTATACGATTACCGCTTATTTGCTTGTTGCTGTTAAACACCTAGCAAGTGAGGATGTAGAGAAGGGCAGTTATTGTGGGATATGAACGCTTACTGTCTTGGCAGCCCACTTACTGCGCGCCACTTCCGGTTATTTCCCGGCCTCCTGTTAGTCCCGAGACTGCGTTTCCACTATTCGCTTTACTGGAAGTTAAAATCTGGTTAAACGGTAATAACAGGATAGCTTTGCATTGATGCAAGGGGATAACTCAGCCCCTTAGGCGAGTTTTGGGCAATATGCTTAAAACGCAAGCTATGACAGACATTTCATTGCCTTACGGAGGGGTAATCCGCATCTGAAAGCTGCCCAAGGGCAATAGAGAAGCCGTCTACTTAGACGTCTGTGCTCTCGAATGCTGAATCTGGGAGAATCAGAGTGGAGGATTGATTAGAAGAGATTAATCCACTGTTCTTCCTGCTTCTGCCTAAGTAATGATTGCGATCGCTTGCCCCGTTAGTAGGATTTTACACTTTGCCGGGACCCTTGTCTAGTCGACTGACTGACTACCCACTGTAGGGAGGCTATGCCTCCTCCTACGAATGCCAGTTCTTTGAGCGGGCCGGAGCTAGGTATTCGCAGAGTTGCAGATGCTAGGCGAACTGTAAGGCGCTCTGTCCTGTCGGGGTCTCTCCTTGCAGCCTGTCATAGGTAGGCACAGCGCTTCGGGTGCAACGTTCATAGAATCTGACCAGATCCCTGGACCGCCACAACCCCAACCTTCCCGCATTCCAGTTCCGGGGGTTGGCAACATCTTTAAAGCCCATGTTTGTTCGAATGATCTTCGTGCTGAGCATCTGTGAATCACATGGTAAATCGGAGCTGCATGCAGTAATTGTGTTGGCGCGAAGTTGGTGACCTCAAAGAAGTAGAGCAGGGAACCCGTTCGCCATGGCCTCAGCCCCTCAGGCCTGTGTCATCCATTCACTGGCTTTTCCTTGTCCGCAACCCACCAGCAGACTGAGATGGCTGGCACGCATCCCCCTCCTTACATGCTGGAATCCGGGGTTCATCTCCACTTAATACATGTCGGGGCCCTGTGACCTGTATGTTGGTTGTGTTGTTGGCTGGTGGCTTTGTTAGTGTGAGTCCGCCAATGGGCTGTGTCGTGTTAGGCGGATTCGTTACCGCTAACATTTCAACCCAAATCTAGTACAATGCATTTTAAATAGACGCAATGCATCACATTCTGCTTTGCGATAGGTATTCTTGCACCATATGTCGGGACTAGAAGAATTTGTGTGTTGCTGTTTCTAGTTTGGGTTCAGGAAAACACGACAGCCAGGAGGGACATCGCATTCTATCATGGCAAGTTACGACTTCCAATGAGGCCACAGAAATCATGTACTAATGCGCCACTCTAGGTTCTCCGCCGAAGGCACGATAGCTGGGTCGATTGCCTCGACAGCCTTTCCATTTCAGGTTCCGACAGCCCAGAATCGGCCTCCGACGATCCTTCATTGGCGATACACCCTCTGCGCTCAAAAGAAGGCTTGCTGGTAAAGATACAGCCGCCAATATGCCCTGCGCAATTAGAGAGTGGACATGTCCCTTGCGACATCGTGATGGTCATTGATACTAGCTATAGCATGAGCTCGCCGGCACCAATCATCGGCTTAGATGATCAAGGTTGCGTTACTAGGGAGCACGTGGGTTACTCCGTGTTAGACATCACCAAACATGCTGCTCTAACAGTCCTCGAAACGCTCAATGAGGGGGACAGACTAGGTATAGTTTCGTTCAGTACTCAAGCCAAAGTAAGACTTATGTCAACGCGACGATCCGAGCTCGCTGACACGATTCAAAGGTCGTCCAGAGCTTAACAGCAATGAGCTCGCAAAATAAGAAGAAGGCTGCAAAGCGCATCCTAGCCCTGAGTGTAGATAACACGACCAACCTTTGGCACGGCATTTTGGAAGGAATCAAGGTATTTGAGCAGAGCGGAAACTCAGGCCGAGTGCCTGCTATGTTTGTTCTCACAGATGGGCAGCCGAATTGCCAGTAAGTCGAGCGTTGGTGCGAAAGTAGTTCTCTGTCTAACTTTCGGCGAAGCCACCCCCTGCAAGGCTATGTGTCTGCAGTTAGGGATATGTTACCACTGCCTGCTGCGATTCACACTTTCGGATTCGGTAACGACATCAAGTCGGGGCTGCTGAAGTCCATCGCAGAGGTTGGAGGTGGAAGTTACTCCTTTATCCCTGATGCTGGCATGGTCGTGAGTCTAGAATCGATGCGCACTTGAAAAAATGGGAAACTAACAAGTGTAGGGGACCGTTTTCGTCAACGCAGTGGCCCATCTTCAGTCTACCTATGCCAACAGATGCGTGCTCGAAGTCACTTATCCGGAGTCCTTTCTACTGGAAACAACGACAGGGGATACCGTGGATAGCCAAGCGCATGACAGATTCGATAACTCATTAATCCTCACAGTTGACGGAACACGACAGCAAAGACTGGTTATCAATCTGGGAAACCTTCAGTATGGTCAATCCAGGGATATATACTTGAACTCTAAACTACCTGCTTGGGGTGGAAACAGCGGCAAGTTCGCCATCCACGCCAAATTGCGGTATTCACGGATGCGCGAGGTTGAGTACGTTGTCAACACCACGCAGGACATGACTGAAGAGACGTCGCTGCCCGAACCTGAGATTGCGTATCACCAAAGTCGGTCAATGGTCTGCCATTTTCTCTCAGACCTATTTCCGTTTCTGCAAGACGGGGAGCACGACCTCAATATGCTTCGTTTCGACACCAGCGGAAAGGCTCAATCCAAGTACGAATCACTGGTTGCCGCCATCCCTGCAAAGAACTTCAGCGATCCCTTGAACACGGCCTTGATGCGAGACGTTTGCGGGCAGATCAACCTGGCTATGCACAATAGCGATTTCCTGAGGACGTGGGCGCCCCACTACTTCCTCAGCTTGTGGGATGCACACGCGAAACAAGTACAAAATACCTTCAAGGACCCAGGCGTGCAGGTCTATGACATGCATAGCCCTCTCTTCCTTAAGTGCCAGAAGGATCTGACGCTCGCGTTCAACATGACGGTCAAGCCGCCTCCGCCCAGCCTGAAGGCGGACGCCGACGAGAACTACAGCACCGGCGACGCACCCATTTCCATGTCGTCGTTTAACAACTCCGACTACCCGTGCTTTGCTGCATCGAGTTCGGTGACCCTGGCTGGAGGCCGGAGCCTGCCCGTCAGTGGGCTACGGAAAGACATGATGGTTCTCACGCCAAGGGGGGGCCGCAAGGTCGTGGCTGTTCTCAAAACTAGGGTCTGGGAGATCGTCCTCTGCAACGTCGACGGCCTCTTGATCACCCCGTGGCATCCTGTGAAACGTGATAACGGGTGGACTTTCCCCGGAAAAGTGGCGAAAAAGGGTGTGCGATACTCGGGGGCTATCTACTCGGTTCTGCTCGAGAGCGACCGGGACTCTGAAGCGCATGCTATTCAGGTGGGAGGTGTGTGGGCTGTGACATTAGGGCATGGCATACTGAGCGGCCAGGACGCAAGAGCACACCGCTTCCTAGGGGATTATCCGAAAATCTCCAAGGCCTTCTCAACGGTTGGCGTCAGACCAGATGGCGTTGCGGTAAGCTCTGGTGTTCGGCGGGGGCGTAGTGGGAGATTGAACGGGTTTAAAGGTACACGCAGCGGTGCGCCAGCAAAGCTGAAATGATAAGTAACGGAGACGGGTCCTACAGGCGTATGCAGTACAGATTCCGATGTACGTACATGTGTTGAATTGATTGAGATTGGAATTAAACAAGACAGCCATCGAGATCTATATTGAATGGGGGAAAGCTGAAGCGATTCTTGCAAGGCACAAGGCAGGATTGGCAGGGCTAGCACGTGGGCATCGCTGGCCTGGTACGCCTTGCTGGCTCAGGCCGGATTTTCGCAGCGACCCAAGTGGGTAATAAGGGTGTCATGGAGCCACGATGTCTCATTAACGTGGTGCATGCAGCGAGTTTTTTTCCCAAGTGGCTGCTGTGGCCCGGGGCAATTCCTGCCCGCCGCCCGCCGCCTACCTGGGGCCAGCACGCGTCCGCTCTGGTTGCAATTAGCACGTGGACGGCGGCTGTTGACCACTGAGAAGAACGGCTCACCAAGAGCATCCTTGGTTATGGATGACACGCATGGATAGGACTTGCAGGCAAACGGGAGATCGACAGCGCGGTGCAGCACTGCAACCATATCGCAGCTCGCCACCAGGCTCAGTCCCCAGCTGGGGCAGTCTCTCGGCTCGCCTATTGCACCAGCGCACCCAATGCAACCCCCCAGCACTTGTTAGACTTTTTAGTCATGAAAGTGAGTGTCGTCTTCATGACTCGCCGTGAAACTCACGATGCGGGACAGCCCTGGAGGGCGTGCCCCCCTCCCGCCGTTCATCCATATGAGACGCTAGGCCGAGCTCTGGTGGAGCGCTATGCGCAGGCTTGGGGGCGCTGGGCTGGCCGGCCGGCCGCTGGCCGATGCGCATGCCGCGCTAGACATGCGGCAAGATCGATCTAGACGTGTCTGGGTGGCCCGTAACGCAGCAGCTTCTCGAGCTGGCACTTCTCGCCTTCAGCCCAGTCGTGAGAATAGTTTCTGTCCATGTGGCACGGTTTTGCTTTCCTGCCCTCCTGCCTCATCGCAGCACATGGTATAGTCAGTTGAATGCAAGTGGTACTGGTCTCATTCTTTCTTTGCTTGCGTCTTCTGTTCCGTCGGTGCTTGCTACCCTGGTTTTGGCGGCCTTGTTTGGGCGCCGACAGCACCACCAAGGCGCCCAACTTTCTGACGTTGCGCGACGATCTTCTTCGGCGATAACATACCTGCTTCAAGCAGCAACGCCTTGCTCTGCCTTGAGCTCTCCTTTTAGACTTCTGAACCCATCACCACTCCACCGCGGTATCCGATCTAGCCAGTCAGCTCTCCTCCCATGACCGAACATGCTGTGGGCAACAATCATGGCACAGCGGAAACCAGCCATGGTTCCCTCGTCATGTCTGTTCCACGGAAGGCCAACTTCGATTGGCTTGGGGATGCACCGCCGGAAAACATTACAGACTTCCAGAAATTTGTCAGATCAGTCGATTGGGAGAACTCATCTATAGGGCCCATGTCGACGTGGTGTCGCGAACTCAAGCAGATGGTCCGCTTCGCAGTCACCGACACGAGCCCAGTCATTCTATACTGGGGAGACACCTTCACCATCGTATACAACGAGGCGTATATTCCGCTAGTTGGCGCTAAACACCCAGGCATGCTGGGAAAGGATGCCACCGATGTCTTCCCAGAGTTCTGGTCCTACTTCGACAAGCTCATCACCGAGCAGCGCTCTACTGGAGAGACGCTAGTCGGCGAAGCTTCCATGCTGTTGATGGAGCGTCGTGGGTTTATGGAGGAGACTTACTTCGACTGGAAGCTGGTTCCTATCATCGCCGATGACGGGGAGGTGAAAGGGTCCTACAGCTGCCCTTCAGATCACACCTGGGACGTTATCAACTTACGTCGGACAACCTGCATAAAAAGCTTAGCTCAAAAGATTGCGAAGACCAGTAGCCTCGATGAGCTGTGGAAAGCAACCTTGTCTGGACTGGAATGCAACGAAAAGGATCTCCCTTTCGTCCTTCTGTACACGGCCATCAAACAAACCGGCTTATCGGCATTGCCATCCCGTCCCCACGTCACCTGTCACCTGGAAGGCTCTATTGGAGTACATGCAGGGCATGCTATTGCAAGGACCTACATGGATGCCCAGCACGATTTGAAAGGCTTTGCCCCCAAAGTACTCGAAGCAATGGTGGATGGAGAGATGTTGAAAATGGAGGCCAACGACCCCAGTCTCAAGGACCTGATGGATGGTATCGAATGGCGAGGCTTCGGGCTGCCTAGTCATGAGTTTGTTATTGTGCCCCTCAAAGCAGATGACGAGACGGTGGCCTTTTTCATTGTTGGACTCAACCCCTACAGACGGTACAATCAACGATATCGCGAGTTCCTACAGCTCATTGTCGAAGTCCTGGTCCCGCAGATTTCCAAAATCAAGCTATCTGAAGAAGTCCAACGCCGTGCAGAAATTGCCACGAAAGCGACGCTAGACTTCGAGCAGAGTGAGGCTAGGTTTTCCAGATTTGCAGATCGTTCAACCATTGGCCTTGCAGTTGCTGGGCGGGATCGAAACGTCATCTACGCCAATGATTCCTGGTATCGATTTGCCGGCATAGACCCGAGCACGAAGGACTACGGTGCATGGATCGATAGCGTTTACGAAGAAGACATCCCTCTAGTCTTGGAGTGGTGGACCAGAGTGTTCGAGGAGAAGAAAGGGGGCCATTTTCAGTATCGCTCGAAAGTACCATTTCGGCAAGGGAATATGCATTCTGAGCAAAGGACTGCTATATGTGCCGGTAAGTTTGCCTGGCGGACAGTACCATCCCGTTTTGATATCGTACTTCCTTGAGAGGTTCAGGGAGCAGTCATGACTATTGCTCAGCCATGATAGGCGCGCACCTGCTGACACCTTGGAAATAGTATACCCTGACCTGGACCACAATGGAGAAATCGAGAGCATCATGGGGTTCGTTATTGATATCTCAGAATTAAAATGGACCGAGGACCAGCTCCGAATACGCACCCAGGAATTAGAAGCGTCAGAGGGTAAATATAGAAATTTTGCGGAACACTGCCCCCTGGGAATTGTACGAACCGATGGAAAGGGATACGTTCAATACGGTGAGACCGCAACATCGCTGTACTGGCACTGCGCACCCTGCAGCGTGGCCTTTTTGTGTCGTGTAGTAGTGCTGACCCTGTGACTAGGCAATGATGCGTGGCATGCCTACTTTGGCTTCGTCAGAGGTCAACTGACTGGCCCACAGCCTTGGCTCCCATTTATAGACGAGCCATATCTGGATGGCTGGAACGAGTGCTTTGAGAGCTTTCAGCGCGATCCTGGGCCAAGGACTATGGAACTTAAACTCAAGGACAAATTATATACCATCAAGGACGGCGAGCATGTGATGGAGAATGGCATGTACATTCTTGTCACTGGATTTGCTGAGTTTGACAGAGACGGGACTGTGAGGCATATTGACTTTTGGGTTACCGGTTGTAAGTGAGCCCATGCACCTATACTTTTTTCAACCGATGGACAATACTAATGGGATCCACAGAGTACTACACTCTTCCGTCCTCGCGGTGTGAATTCTTGACCGCACTAGCCTCCAGTCAAAGAGGAATAACCATTGGAGCAGTAAAAGAGATGCTAACTCATTGCAGATATCAGCGCACAAAAAATGGCAGCCAAAGTCTTAGCTGACAAGATGGACGAGGCAATACAACTGAAGACACACCAAGAGCGCTTCATCGATATGATCAGTCACGAAATTAGAAATCCTTTGTCCGCGGTATTGCACTGTGGCGAAGAAGTCATTGGAGCAATGAAGACATGCCTCGAGAACCTGGAATGCCCCCGACACTTGTCCAGCGTCGATGGCTGCGCAAACACGGGCACCTTTCGCCAGCAGATTCTCAGTACACTTGACGCCGCAAACACTATTATGTACTGTGTTCAACACCAAAAACAAATAGTCGACGATGTTCTTACGTTGTCAAAACTTGATGCGGACCTCCTGGTGGTCTCACCTGTTCCTATCCAGCCAATGGTAGGCGTAAATTCTATGAGGGGCATCGATGATCAAAGCTAACCCGTTGTTAGAGCCTTGTGCGGTCAGCAATGAAGGTCTTCAATCCAGAGTTGAAGATGACAGATATCACCCTTTCTGTCGTTGAAGACGAGTCCTTGTCAGCCTTGAGAGTAAATTGGGTTCTTCTGGATCCCAATCGGTTCCTGCAAATAGTCATCAACCTCGTCACTAACGCCATCAAATTCACCCGAACCTCATCCACGAAGAAGATCGACATTACGGTGTCAGCATCACACGAGCCCCCTGTAGAAGGCGCTCTTGGAGTCCATTTTGTACCTCGGCGGTACAACACGGCCAAGCCCACAAGTCCAACAACGGCTGACGGTCCTGAGCGGTTCGATGTAGCTGGCGATCTGTACCTATCATTCACCGTCCGCGACACTGGCAAGGGTCTAACAAACGACGAAAAGGCGCTGTTATTCAACCGGTTTTCTCAAGCTTCGCCAAAAACTCATATAGAGTATGGCGGATCAGGCCTGGGGCTGTTCATTTCCCGTCAGATTACCGAGATGCTAGGCGGAGAGATCGGCATGAATAGCGAAGGAGATGGCTGTACATTTGCATTCTATGTCAAAGCTATGAAGGCCTCACCACCTCGTCGTCCGTCGGTCACTGTTGAGCCAATCTTGCAGTTGACTAGGACTCTCAGTCTGACCAGCTCGGCATCACCGCTCGTCGTGCCATCTGGGGCGAATGACCCTGCATCGATAGGAGTGACACTTGTTACCCCAGAAGGTCGACCTGCGTCCGCGCCCTCGGAGAGGCATGTCCTCGTCATCGAAGACAATCTGGTGAATCAAAAGATTCTGTGCAAATTACTGCGGAACCGCAGCTTTGTCGTGGAAGCTGCAAATCATGGCCAGGAAGCCCTTGAGGCTATCAAACAGATAAGCGCAACGGGCCGCCAGGGCTTCGAAGTGATTCTGTGCGACATCGAGATGCCTGTGATGGGAGGCATCGAGTTTGCGAAAGAAGTCCGGTTTCGTGAATGCAAAGGACATATGCCGGGGCACATCCCCATTATCGGCGTCACCGCCAATGTGCGCGGCCAGCAAGTCAGTGCGGCCATTGAGGCTGGCATGGTAAGCTCTCTCCCATTACTGGGTCTTTGAGATATGGCAAGCTAACGATGGGCAGGATGGCGTGACCACGAAACCATATCGCATCGACGATCTCATCGCTCATATCAACAGGGTGTGTTACGGGTCAGCGAACCAGGGACCCGACCATCAACAGATACAACTCCACGAGTAAGGATCATGGGCAGTAAGCTAAGCACTTAGAAACTAGTTTATGTCGCTGTGGGTTCCAACGAGTCGGGGGTCTCTTGTGATGGCCGGATGGCTAACGCGGACTTTTCGATGCGTATTATTACTGGACTGCGGTCGTCTTGCGATTACTACTGCCAGCGGTTTCAGCTATTTGCGCAATCGGATTTGATTTGATCATATTCGGTTCTACCGGATCGGATGCCGCACAAGCGCTAAACGTCCCCGACCTGGTAGCTCAGCAAACTAACTATATGACGCCCGTCAGTCCGTCTATCACCGCCATCATGAATTCGACACACCACACCACTAAAGGTATTGGTCGTCCTTAGGAATCACCTCCTTGTTTCGCTCGGCGATCTTTTTGTCCCCCACTTGCATTGCTTGACAGCGCGCATCGGATGAATGGTGATGTAATTGGCGCGGCCACTCCCGGCGCTAGTTAGCGTGCCGCATACTTTGTTCCTGGAAATCATCTGGCGAGTCTCGTATTCGTCATAGACTCCAGCATGGCTTTAGGCGATGCGTAGAAGCAAAAATAAATACATCAATCTCGGACATCCCGTCTTTGGTCACCAATTCTCAACCTGAATGCGAAAGAGGAGACTGACACGGATTCAACTGCGCCTATCTCGAACACAGCACGACTCAAGATGCCTTCAAGCAAAGGTATACCAGAGATAGGCAAATCGTGAATATTCACATTTGCTAACATTCATATCACAGGAAAGCCTACCGATCCCGAGCTGCGGGAACAGCTTAAGGAGGGTGCGTCAGATACAGGATTCATGGCCATGGCTGCCGCTGACATGGTACACAGAGATAAAGCAGGAGCCGAATAAGTCGGGTGGCGGTGAAGGGGAGTGGGCAGCTTGGAAGGTGAGGATACTGGATACTCTTCGGTGTTATATTTTGAAACCTGTCGCTGATTCTGAATCGTAATTAGGCTTCGAAACTGGCCAAGGAGTACGAGAAGCAGGGCGGTGATTACGAGAATGAGGCTGGTTCAAAAAATGAGCCGAAGAAGGGCAACCCCCAACCCAAGAGCGAGTCTAAGAAGCAGTCGGAAACTTAACTCTTGCACGATTTGATAAACTTGATAGGGTTATATTAATAGAACCCACCTCGAGGGTTGCTCTCACAACATTCCGCTTCATTTAGACCTAAGATGTTAGCAAGATGACTGACCTAGTGAATGTATATCAATGGTGGTATAACCACATTATTCGGTATTACAAGTTCACCCGAGGCTTGAATACATTAAGAACTACTGTTGTTACACAATAAGCCTCGTTTTGCGATATCATGGCCAAAGTTGGTCCCTCTTGTCCAACGGTGGAGCATTGCTCCGGAAGTGGGGCCGGCCGGCCTACCAGTAGAAACTAAACTCTTCGGATGGAAAATGTTGCATTTTGCCGTCTAAATGTACGTGTCCCTCTCTATCTAGACAGACTTGTTACATATGGGGCCATGAATACCGTCGGGTTTTCATCTTTTGCTAGTATGCAAACATCACTCCCACCTCCAAGCTCACCTCGCTGGTGTCATCGTCATTACGGCTGCAGCGCAAATGTTAAATCCATTTCGCTACCAGAGCATGGCGAGGCTTTCGAATCCCGTCTACATCGGAGAGAATAAAGTTTTTGGCTATGAGACGAAGGCATATCAGGGTGCCTGGGTCGTTTCGAGATTGAAAGGAGGAGAAAAGCGCTAGACCTGACTGTTGCATTGAAACGGAGCTGAAACTCGTAGGGGTCCAGGGTCCTCCCCCGTCTTCGCCTACCACCGTCTGAGGGTCTTCCACACCCTTGGTATTCAATAAAAGCAGATCCCACCGCATCTGCCTCTTGGCTACTTCTTGGCCATCTCTTGGCCATCTCTTAGCATTCGCTTGGCTCTGGAGCTGATATAATTGTATTTTGTTTTCTGTTTGGATTGAACGACGACCATGCTTTGCGAATGCCGCCCACAGGTGGTGATCTCCTTGGGCGCCTTGCTCATCATTGTTTGGGTGGTTCGACTGTTAGCCGTTCATGATGGCGTCTTAACACTGTTGTTCGAGGGATCCAACAGACAACAGGCCGAGAGTGTGTTCGTCACACAGGCGATGAAGGTCGAGTTCCCTGCCCCGATCGACTACAAGCCTATCCAGGAAGTATGCGCCAGGACACAATTCCGGCCGGGCTTGATATTCAGCTGTGAAGGGCAGCACGGCGGCATTGGCATGTTGCGCAACCAGATCCTCAAATGCATACGGTATGCAATCCACGGCGGGGGCGCGCTCGTCATTCCTTCGATAACTCTACGAAACGCTGGCGACCTGTCCGACATTGAATCCGGCAAACAGATGTCCCTCGATTATCTATTAGATAGAGAGGCCTTCATCACCCACCTGACAGAGGGATGCCCGGGGATGCACCTATATGAGCGCGCAGAGGATTTCCCTTATTACAGCCAGCGGGCACGTGAGCCTTTGACGATAGTTGGAGACCAGTTCGAGCCTAGTCACCCGCGGGAGGGACTCAGACACCCCCGTGAATGGCGGAACTTCTTCGACAACTGGTTAGACCAGCAGTCTGTGAAGCTTCGGTCTGACATCCCAGTGCACGTCAAGTTCGAGCAATCTTTCCTCGAGTATCCTGTGCGTGACGATGGCGAAGCCTTTGTTCACGAGTTTGGCAAGATCCTTTCCTTCCGCAAGGATACACGTGCTCTGGCCGCCAAGGTGCTCTTTGAACTGAAGGAGAGGTTTGCGCTGCCCATCGATCCAGCGAATGCCATTAATCCCAACACCTTTTATGGCGCTCATTTGCGGCTTGAGGAGGATGCCATCTGGGCGTGGCCACCAGACGAATGGCGCTATTCGCGCATGGAAGAGCAATTCGGGGAGCAGTTCCAGAACCTAGAGCGTGCCGGCCTTGACGTGGTTTACGTCACGTCCGGGAACCAGACTGTGGTTGATTTATTCACCGAGGCCCTGAACAGACGCCTCGCGGCCAGCCCTAGTTCAGACAAGAAGAACGTGACGGTGGTGACCAAGTACGACCTGCTCAAAGGCAAAGACCGTCAGCTACTCGATAGCTTCACCTTTGATCAACAAGCCCTGGTGGACTTTATGATGATGTTCAAGGCGAGCGCGTTCATGGGTGTTGCGCACTCCAGCTTCCCCTGGAACGTGGCACTGCGGAGGCACGAGCTAAGCAAGTATGTGGACTATGCCAATGAAGGCTCGGATCTATTGAGGGATGAGTACAGTATCATCATGGGAATGGCCGCCGACTATCCACATGTTGACCCGTTTGTATATGCCATATGGCCATAAAATGGCCATAGGTTGCCTTGCGCTTCGTCACAGAAAAAGGGATTTGGGAGTTTGGTGGTGTTTGGCGCCTTGTCTGGGTGCAGTGTTTGCAGCATTTTATGGCAGTTTCCCACCGTACAAGGGTAACTCATTTGAGGTATTGCGGTATGCCATTGGTATATGTTTACGGCGTTACGGAACTCCTGAAGATTATTGGACGGGGAACGTCATCAGAAGAGTCGCAGAATGGGTGTTAGACCACACAGCCGCTGGTTGATAGGATAATCGCTGCATGTTAATCGCTACATGTTGCAGATGGACCGGCATCAAATACCACAATGGGTCAGGAATGGAGCAAAAAATGACAATCAGACAGACTTGAGTTCCAGAGGCACACAATAGTACATTCAATGTTCTTGACAATCCACGGCCATCTGGCCTTACGCTTCCGCAAATTTATATACCCTGAGCGGTGCTTTTCCTTTCATTCCTCCTTGTCATTAACATCATTAGCAACAACTTTTCCTTATGAGATACCTACGAGAAATCATCAACATCTCACTACTACGGAAATCAACCATTCGCATTTCGCCAACACTGCATCCAACACCATGACGATGTATAAGAAGTGAGCGACACTGCATTCTCTTAACCTCTTTCCTTTCCTTGTCCAGCCTCCTTCAATCTCAATATACGTGAGCCAAATACTAATACACAACAGACCATTCGACTTCAGCCGAGGTAAATGCCCACAATTTACCCATAGCGATGGACCGTGGGTCGTGGTCAGATTGCTTAAATGTTGATTTAGACTGGAGCTCGGTTTTGAGCATTAAGCATCAATGTACCATCTTGGTCCATCAGCGTCTGGTGGAAGGCTATGGCCTCCTCCAACTTCTCGAGGCCGCATTGGATGCACTATGCGGCTACTGCTACGACACTCTGGAGTGGATGTTTTATCGCGGTCTCATCCAAGCTATAAGCGGTAGGGAGCCCACCGAAAGCGATCTATTATCGGAGCTGACGACTCTAAAGATGCAATCAACACGATGAAACCGAAGTCGAAGCTTTGAAAAGGGGGGCAACTTTCTTTCGTATTGGGGATTTCGCAACGAGCTGGACGCAAATTAGCCTTGGACTCACGATGAGGGTTAGGCAGAGTCCCACGGGCTAGAGCTCATTCTCTTTCCATACGGAGCAAAGAAATTTACATTTCTTGATAATACCGCTCCATATGAATAACTTGACTTGTCTGCTTACGACAGAGTTGATTACTCTGCCTTCCCTCAGTCATACCTAGGTATGAGGTCGAGGGAAGCGGAACGGTGGAGACAAGGGTCATAATAATCTGTATATAGCACTAAAGATTGAGGACTCACCAGCTTCCAAGACAATGACCAACTCGCTGCGATGTCCATCAACCGGCTAGGACACGTGCCTGTTGACTTCACAATTCAAGTGAACACCCTGTCAATCCCAAGTTACTATCTAGGTCTGTGCAGTGGGGCCTGCGTTGGTCAAGGCATACTTACGGAGTACGACTCGGTTGATGAGTATCCTAAAGGACAGGCAAGCCAGAAATGAATATGGTTCGGGACTCTCCGCTCACCCATTTGCTTGATCTAGGCTATGTCGGGCAGCTTTTAAGCGCCGGCTCCACAGTGACATACTCGTCTCTGCTCGTTTCCAGACTGTCGGGATATCTCCAATAACCTCATTGGTTTAAGCTCAACTTGCCGGGAGGAAAATTGCCCTTAGAGTGAGGGTCGTCAAGTAATTCCCGATCTAAAGGATCCCTATGGCACCAGAATGAGGGTCTAACCTGGTTGTCAAATTTCATAGTAGTTATTGAGGAGGGTCCCCCCAGACACTGAACAAACCAACAGCTCCACCACTTCTAATTCTGAACATATAGATAGCCAAAGAGCCAGTGCCGACCATGCGAGACCAGATAGATATCAAGTTGGCAACAAGCCCCAACGACATCAGCGCAGTGTCGAATCTAGCCGCTGGAATCAGCTCACTGGCGAGCACTCTAGATAAGAATGATGATGCAGCACGCCATACCTTGCTTTTGAAGGCCCGAACGCTGGTTCAAGCGCTTGAGACGCCTAGAGAAACTATGATCAAGCACACATGGGCTCAGGTAAGTTGTCCACGATATTCCAAGCGACATGCTAATGGATATCAGCCTGGCGTCGCTGCTGGACTAATTAGCGGCGTTGACACCGGCCTGTGGACAATTATGGCAAAGCACGTGGATGAGCCACAGAAAGTCAACGACCTTGCCGACTCTTTGGACATGGAGCCTCTATTGCTTGGTTAGAATTAGCTTGATAAAGTTGGTCAATCAGCAGATGCTAACTATACTGCTGAATAGCTCGTCTCACACGTCATCTTGCGGCGCCTGGGATACCTTATCGAAACAGATCACGATGAATACAGATTGACCAATTTCTCAAAGTGCCTGAGCTTACCAGTGATTGGGGATGGCTATCTGGCTCTGTAAGTAGAGCGACTTCTGGTTCAGGAAAGCTAAATTTCTGACTTGGGTTCAAGGCTAGGTGGCACAGGGCGCAGTCCGGTCGAGTTTCACAAATTCGCGCGACATAACAACTGGCGCAACCCTACTGATTCTGCAAACACACCTCTTCAGATGGCTTACGGCACGGAGCAAAACTGTTTTGAATATCTGAGGTCCATCGGATATGGTCAACAGGTGAACAATCACAGTAAGCTTCCATAATCGTGCATCAAGTCCCAAACACTCAGACATGCCTCCCTGCTTCGACCTTCTTGGAACTACATTGCCCAGATATAGGTACTGACATGTTCTTTGCAGTGGGGGGTTATCGCCAAGGCCGCTTGCCATGGATGCATCCATCCATCTACCCAGTTGAAACCACTCTATTCGCCGGAGCGGATACTAGCCCAGATACAACCCTGATCGTCGACGTTGCCGGTGGTCTCGGGCACGATATAGCAGAGTTCCAGCGAATGTATCCGAACCACCCCGGGGTATGTCTGAACTTCTCTCTCTCTCATCCTCAGCTAAATCACTCCAAAAAACGCCAGTACTGATGCGCTCGGCAGAAACTCGTTCTTCAGGATCTTCCTGTAGTTATCGCCGACGCTGAGAAGACGCTCGATCCACGAATTGAGTGTATGGGGCATGACTTCCTCGCCGAACAGCCTGTCAATGGCGCACGAGCATACTTCATGCATTCGATCATGCACGACTGGCCCGACAATGTCTGCCAAAACATTCTGGGGAGACTCGCTGAAGCCATGAAGCCGGGATACAGCAAGTTGCTGATCTTTAATTGCGTGATACCCCGGACCGGTGCTTACTGGGAGAATACGGCTGGGGATATCCTGATGATGACGCAGCTGCGCGCTCTGGAGCGCACCGAGGAGAACTGGTATGATTTGATCGAGAGGAGTGGGCTTGGGCTGAGGATTGTCAAAATCTGGAGATGCAATCAGTCTGACGTGGAGAACCTGATCGAGTGTGAGCCTGTGTAAGCAGATTGTAGGACATTGTAGCATCTGAAGAACGCATCGTCCAGTCGTACCCACACACAGCACCCATCGTTCAGCGACATCGCCGTTTACATAAGAAGTGTGTGATGACACGACGAGACCGGAAGAGCACGGGCAAGGACTCTGGCCTTTGAGTAAGGGCCGGGCCCATTCGGGTCGTGGACGGTTGGGCTGAGGTGAAAGGGACCGGAGATTTCAGCTCCCAAAATCTCCGGAGCAGCAGCACGACACAGCGGCCCGGGCATAGCCCAACCCCCACCAGTCCCCGAAACAACCGCGCAGGCGCCTCTTTGAAGCCAGGGAGGCAGCAGAGGTGGCGCTGACTCACAGCCGACATTGGCCTGAAGCATCGCTCGTATATCGCCCGGAGTGGGACCACCAGCAGCTGTGTGTTTGCCGCAAAGTCCGCTTGGCGCTGCTCGCCGTGAATTGGACGTGAGCATCGCCGCACATAAGTACCAGTTGAAATCCAAGAAACTCTCGTCGTCGCTCGAGGCACAATCCAGCCTCGACCATTGCGCGCGCACCCTTCTTCCCACATTTCCGAAGTTCTGTCGCCGGGTCCGAGTTGAACCACTTGTCTTCTGCGCTTGTCTTGTCACATATCACCCAGGATGCAGGTTGCTCAGGTTAACGACTGGGCCGAAGGCCCCCGCTACACTACCACCGATAAGCTTCCGGCCCCATCCGCAGACGAGATCCAGCTCCGGGTCTTGGCAGCCGGTGCCCACCAGGTCGTCCGTTCCCGCGCTGCTGGGAACCATTATTCGGCCAAGACCCTGCCTCACTACCCAGGCGTTGATGGCGTCGGCAAAGACGAGACGACCGGCAAGCTCTACTACTTCATGCACTTTGGAGACCGCTTTGGGAGCTTCTCCGAGTACGTGAATGTGCCCAGAGATGCCGTCGTCATTTCCCTCCCGGATGGGGTTGATCCCGTGAGCTTCGCTGCCAGCGTCAACCCTGCCATGTCGAGCTGGATGGCAATCACACAGCGCACGAATGACCTACCCAAGAACTGGACCGCGCTCATCATTGGAGCAACGAGCGCCAGTGGGCGACTGGCCGTCCATGCCGCCAAAGCATTGGGCGCCGCGAAAGTGGTAGGCGTTGCACGCAGCGAGGATGCGTTGAAGGCAGACAAGAGCCTCGATGGCCATATTGCTCTGAAGGAGCCAGTCACGGCGACGGATTTCTCCGCGGTCGACGCCGACGTCATCTTGGACTATGTCTACGGCGACGTCACGCATCACCTGCTCACGACCCTGAAGACCAAGAAGCCCGTCCAGTACGTCCAAATCGGCACTCTGTCCGGAACTGCCGAGATATCTCTCGCCGGTCCACTGCTCAGATCCACCAATATTACCCTCAGGGGCGCTGGCCCAGGAAGCTGGAGGTTATCCGCGCTGGAGGTGGAGCTGAAAACGCTCGTTCCCGCCATGGCGAAGTGGCCCGCCTTGGACGCAGTGAACATTCCCTTGGAGGATATCGAGAATAAATGGAATGATAGATCAATCAAGGGAAGGGTCGTCTTCACTCCGTAACAGAAGCGAGAGCAATTGATGCTAGATTCCGGTGTACTATAACTAAGTCGTCGGACTTTAGATAGCCCTAAAGATTCAAGAGTGGACTCTGCCACAATCAAACGAAAGGCCAAGCTAGTAAAGCTCACCTCATCAGTGCATGTACTGAGTTTACTGTTGATTTATTTCTCCTTGAAGATCATATACGATATGGATCACCGCCGCCGCATCCAACGCAGTTGGTGAAAACGGGTGATGTACGGTGTTGCATGATAGCATAGTACGCAAAGCCAAAGTCAATTCCAAGATGAAGAGATGGTATCTAACCTGTATAATGCTATTCCCCACTGGGCCCGATTAATCTAGGGAGCTGAGGGTGAGACTCGGGGCAAGGCTCGGAGTTCCGTTTCCCTGCCCTGCGCGATTGCGAGTACTGTGCCACTAAGGTGCGTCTGCGGGGTGCTGCCAGGTACATACGGTGGTAAGCATTGATCTGACGACGATTCACCACTTTCGACAGCGAGCTGGCCAGAATCCGTTCATTGAGAAGGAGAATTCTGCAGCGGTTTTATTTACTACAGGCATGGCTGACGAGAACGAGCCGCTGAAATGTACTTTGTACATATTTCCCTTTTCGCTGTATTCCATCATGGCCAGGCTGACTGCCACCCTTGGACCCGTTTCAGGGCCTCCCACCAAGGCTGTGGCAATCGAGCATAAACTCCTCGACTTAAATCGGGATGAGAACATAACCGAGTGGTATCTGAAAATCAACCCCAAAGGGCAGGTCTGTAGCCCACCCGTAGCCACCTGGTTTTAACGAATTTCAATCGCTAACTGCCACCAAGGCTCCTGCAATGACTGTTCAGGGGCGATCGGCACCTCTCACAGATAGTCGTGATATCTCATATTGGTTCTGCGAGATCTGGCCCAACCTATTACCGAAAAATCATGAAGGAAAGATCCAGGACCTGCTGGCGCAGCTTCATGCCATCGAGGGGATATCATTGTCAGTGCCACGGCCGGAGCAGCCGAACAAAGATCTTCTGAACAAGGACTGTGATAAGATCCTGGCCAGGACTGACATTAGCGACACCTATCGTCGCGCTGTAGAGTACAAGAGACAGGTGTAAGTGTATCGCAGCTTTGCAGCGCACGTGTACTGATTTACCATAGGGACTACAGCCACTGGCCCACGTCGCTACATCATGTTTCCATTGATAAAGCTCAAGACCAGGCGAAGGCCCTCTTCGAGGTTGTTCTAGAGCAACATCAAAAGCACGGCGACGACAGTCCCTGGATTTTCGGCAAAGATATCGGTCCGACTGTGCTTGATGCACATATTGTTCCGTTTATCGCCCGTTTGGATGACGCAGGTCGTGCTTGGCTGGTCCCAGAGGTACTCTTGCAGTATGCTCAAGCAATCAAAGGCCTGCCTCAATATTACGAAGTGACGAAAGGAAGGCGTACTATGTGGAACAGTTCATATGGCCATGTACATCTGTTGGTAGATATATAGTTGAAGGAGCTTCGTGGGACATGGATTGAATGATCGATTTGTGGAATAGGACGTTCAATCCATGTGCACCCGGCACCTTGTTGGTTCGGATCCTTAGAATTAATTAATATTCCGTAAGCACTTATGATAGGTTGTGCAGTGCTACCCGATATTTTAGTTTCGACAGGTTTATACTTCGTTCTTGCCCTAAAGCAGTTCACGCAAACTCGACGTGCGGTTTTCCTGAGGCCCAACGAACGACGACAAGGTTGCGCCCACAACATTATCTCTCACCAGACAACACCACATCACACCTTCCTAAACCCCCATACTACACAAATCCCATGCTAGGATCGGAGTCTCCTGGTAACATCAAGTCCTCTCATATTCATCACTGCCTTGAATAGGCAACTTCCCGCAAAATCCTGTAGGCAGAGGCTTTGCGTCCCTCCGAGCTCCCAAGACACTATCACGAGCCCAGAATTTGTTCCAAATTCGGGATTTCTTTCGGCTTTTCACTCCTACACCGTCACCCTCGACCTCGGATTGAGCAATATCTCGACCTTGACTGTAACCTTCTGGCCTCTTCACATCGAGGCCTTGAATGTGGCCTATCCTGTCAATCAGGTATCCTCCCAGTCAATATTTTCATCATCTTGACCTGAAGAGCAGGAGCTTTCTCGCAGGCGTAACTACCTAAACCCTGATTCCCAATATTTCCTCTTCTTTTTCAATCACACGCTGCTGTGGAACACCATACCCTTTCCCTTCCAAGGTAATCTTAGACTCTTGGCGATCGCGAACTCACACGTGAAAATTCATTGTTCATCGGACATTGCGCGTACCTCCTTTCACATCCCACAAGCCTCACACAGGTATTGGGCGTTACTTTCTACTCACCATAACATCCGTCCTTGACATGAGACATCTGAGGGTGCCTACCTGTGGAAGCACGTGGCAAATATTCAGCCGCTCATACAGCAATCACATTCACAGCTACAAGCGTCCCAGATTTCCGATCCAGATCTATCATAATGGAAGGCAGTCCAGGATCCTCGCGACCCGCGCTCGGTCAGGTAGCGGACTTGGGTGCATTTTACGATGCCCGAACCGACTCATTCTTGCCTACTAACCTGATCGCCGGTAATCCGCCACCCTCGATATTGAGGTCGTCAACTCAAAAAAGCCAGCAGGCTGTGGTCATCAATGGTGATTCCCTTTCCAAGAAGCTTGCGGCTCTTGGTGTTGATGATGACCTTGCCGCGAGTATACTTGCCCGCCTTGTTCCTCTGTCCGGCGCAAGCACTTACCTGACTTCAACCCGCCGCAGCGAGGCCACGATTGAGGGCGCTGTCAGATTCACAATCACCACGGAGCAAATGACTCTCCAAATTGGGAGCGCTGACATACGGCCTCACATATCCGCCCATGCATTCCAAAACGGAAACGCCACACACGTGGTCTTGGGTATAACCTTCGGGGCTGAGTGCATCATTGGCGCCCAAGCGCCTTGTGGTAAAGACATTGCCCAGTCCCAAGGCCTCCTGTGGCCGAAATTGTCGAAGCTTGCTGCATACTGTGAGGGCAATTTGGTCACTACGTCTATGGTCAAGCTCAAGGATCGGACTTCCACTACTGATGCAGACCTTGGTGATGAGTTTCACAATCTTGACATAGCAATTTTCTCAGACGTTCCTGAACACGGTTCTTTCAAAAAGATTAGTGGAGATACACTCTCAGGTTTCATTCGGAGTTTCCCTTCGGCAATCAAAGCAACCTCTGGGGGTCGAGGTGTAAATCTCACGTATACTCTTGCCTCACTAGAGTGGGTTTCTTACATTCTGAACATCAACAGCAGACCTCGGATCTCTCTGACACATCCTCCCCAAGGTATGATTAAGTCATTCATTCACCTCTATCAACGCTGGCTGGACATCGGAAGGCACATCCAAGATTATGTTGATGAGGTAGAAACCTGCCGAGGCTGCAACTTTTGCTCTACCCATACTGAGCTTAGTGATGTCCAAGACCAACTCGAGAGGGCACTTGCGAAGAAATCCGCGTTGCGAATTGAATTTGCTCGAATTCTTTTAGGTATTCGATCCTCGACGTCAACAGCCGAAGAACTACGTTCATTTGTGGCCCAGTCATATTCTGGGGCTTTGACTCCCAAATCGATTTCGAATCTACTGACCCAGGCAAAGGACAAGCTCTACTTTCGAAAGCAACTGTTGACTTCAGGAGGTCAGTACCTCGACTTTGACGGGGCCAAGGAAGCCATCTCGGTCGGAAGTAACATATATATCCTTTACTTCAATGTGGATACGAAGAAAGACGAGGACTCGTGGAATACCAATCGCGAAATCATCACAAGATTACTCAATCGAAACTCTGGTGATTACTTGGTCGCCGTTGCCGAGTGCTCCGCTCAGGAACTATCTTTATTGAAATCTCGGATCACATTCTACCGTAGTGGTGGGGTCATTACTTTCGACATGCGTGAAGGTATGGATCTCGTCGATCAGTGCTTTGCACAATACGATACGAAACTTCTCGATACCAGCAAATGCAATATGCCGCAGGGTCGGAAGCCATTGAGACTCCCATGTCCCCACACCACATGCGACAAGACTCAAGTCTGCGACTGGACCTGCTATAGCTGCAGAATGCCGCTAGAATACTGCGACAAGTACATGTATTGCGAATGTGGTCGAGTTAAAGCAAGCGACTTCACGTGGCAATGCAACAGCCTTGACCATGGAAAAGAATTTGTGAAGCACAGAGCGCCTGCTTTGACAACGAGTCTTAGGTCACTGGACTCATATAAGGAGAGGAACATTCTGGTCCTCGGAGAGACCGGCGTTGGCAAATCGACATTCATAAACGCCTTCCACAACTATATGCAGTTCGGCTCGCTTGATGATGCACTTGGGCACAATGAGCTTAAGTTCCTTATTCCAAGCTCGTTTTCTATGCAGTACATTGATCGTTCTAGGCACTCGAACGGTTCGTTCATTCAGTGTGACGTGAAAGTCGGCGACAATGAATCTGAGAAGGATGGTTCTCGGGGAGACTCGGCCACACAGAAGGCTACGCCATATCGCATGCGATTTGGCGATTTACTCATTCGACTCATCGACACTCCGGGAGTGGGAGACGTACGAGGCATTGAAGCTGACCAGAAGAATTTGGCCAGCATCTTGGGCACCATTAGTCAATATGAGGCCATCCATGGGATCATCATCCTACTGAAACCTAACTCCTCTCGTCTCAGCCTGATGTTTCGCTTCTGCGTCAAGGAGCTGCTCACCAACCTACACAAAGATGCAGCCAAGAACATCGTGTGGGGGTTTACAAATACAAGGCAATCCAACTATATGCCTGGAGACTCTTATAAGCCTCTGGAAAGACTCATCTCGAAACACAAGTCCCTCGGGCTGGAATTGTCTCCAGAGACGGTTTTCTGCTTTGACTCTGAAAGTTTTCGATGCCTGGCGGCCAAAAAGCAAGCTGGTATCGATATGGACAACCTGGACGACTTCCGTCTCAGCTGGAAGAGATCCGTTCAGGAGGTTGACCGACTTATGAATCATGTCAGCGACTTGGAGCCTCATTGTGTCAAAAGTACGTTGAGCTTGAACAGGGCCAGAGAGCTCATCTCCCAGCTTACGCAGCCAATGGCAACTCTGACGGATGCAATCCAGCGCACTATCAATCTAAACAAAGACAAGATTGACGATCTGAGTAACGACCGGCTACAAGGCCAAGCCCTCCAAAGTTCTTTGCACTTCGACCGTATTGACATTGAAACCGAGCGTCTTGACTATCCACGCACAATCTGCAAGCACTCTGACTGCGTCGACTTGATAGACGTAGCAGGCGTGAAGCGCCCTTTCTACCGATCTCACTGTCATCCTCACTGCAACCTGATCGGTGTTGCGGAAGACGTTGTAGGCCACGCGGGCTTGATACGTTGCACGGCCTTTGGTGGACACAATACGTGCCACCCATGTGGACATCACTGGCAGGAACACATGCATATTAGGTACTCTCAAACGGAGAAAACTGTGAGGGCCGTAGATCCTGCCGTTCAAATCAAGATCGACGCCAATGCATCTGCGGTGCAGCTGAAACAGACTGCCATTCAGAGCTTGGAAGCTCAAATCCAGAAATCTCAGGAAGAGTTGCAGAAGATTCGAGATGCAGCGATTCGATTCGCGTACTTCCTGAAGAGGAAAAGCATCACGCCTTACAATGACGCGATGATAGCGTATATTGACATGATGATCAAGGAAGAACGCCAGATTGTTGCACACGGCAAATCAAGCAACGTCGACGTAGACAAGAATGAAACACGGCTTCGGTCGTTGGAAGACAGCAAGCGACAGTATGCCGAACGCATCAAAATTCTCGAAGAGCAGATGGACGACTCGCCTGGAGCTCAGCTTCTCGATGAGCAAGGTGTTGAGGACCTTATCCAGGAACTCTACGGGATGCAAGGTTGGGGCAGGAACTTGAAGGACTTGAGAGATATGGAAGAATGGTCCAAGGCATCGAGCTTCCGTGAGCACGAAGTCAAGCCCCGGACAAGTCAGGCGATCCAGGGGCGTGGATGGCTCGGCACCGTCTCTAACGGGTTTTCAGCGGCCAAGAATTTCGTGACGGGTACCCTGACCCGAGCAACATCGGCTTTAGGTGGTAAGTACCAGAGCGCCCACGACGCACTTCCAGGACAAGGCGGCTCCAAGAGAGGAGCGCTCACGACAAACACTGTCACTCATCCCAATGGGTACGACACTCGTCAGAAACGACGACGGTTGGGTGATTACACGGCGAACCCGAGTCAACATTAGTTGACCAGAGAATATGCCGAAGAAGTAGGGCATTATGAACCACTCTGCTCGTATGCGTTATCCATGGTTGACGCGATGAATTGCATTTGATTTGAACTTCTGTAGAGTACATACACTAAAACGCTCGCTGCGCAATCGTACATAGAAATACAGAGACCACAGCAGACTGGCCTTCCCAAGCTGACTCCTTCGCCGTTGCCGAGAGATTACTCAATGTGAAGGAAGTGCCGAGATGCGACGAGTATTGTACCGGGGGGATGATGTGCTGTTATCATGTATAAGCAACCGAGTTGTATGGGTTGATGGGTTGGCGAACCTTTTCCACGCAAGTAGGTGTCCTGCACAGCACTGCAATCACATACAAGATGAACACTCTTGATGTTGACACGACGAGCACTTGTTGCTAATGACAAGCATACCACCACATTTGCAGCAGTACTTGGAGTAGGGAGACATTTCAATGTCGCTCGAGGCTGAGGTGATGTCTTTGTAGGATCGTAGGGGGCCTTTGTTGGTGGAAGTTCTGGTCGTTGTAGACGTATGTGTGTGACTGAGGACAGGGCCTAGGAGCTGCCTCGCCGCCACAGGGAGGCAGGCGACTCGGTCTTTATAGACGCCTAGGATTTCCCGCCCTCGAACAGCGAGGATCAGAGAAAGAAAGAGGGCAAAAAAAGTCCCCCAACCCACCCCAGATCGTCACGAACCCACCACCCCCAGAACCCTTCTTGCATGAATAAGGTTCGCAGCCTGCCTGGGCGAGTCAACGTCAAGCTTACCCCGCATCGTGGGCGCCGAATCACAGCTGCCGGGCGCGGGCTGGGCGCTGCGCAGCAGATATTTCCAGGTTGGGGGTCCTCGCTGGGGATGGCCTATGGCAGGCCTGGCAGGGGCTGGGCGGATGATCGTGGGCTCGGCCTCCCCCTGCACCAGCCCATACCCCACGTCTTCAGCGCGCCTACCGGCCCCGGCAGGCCACTGACTGGTGGGCGGCAATCCATTAGGATATGCGAACTGCTAATCCGCGGCCAGCGCTAGCACAACGTAGCCAGGCTATTGGGGAGGCTTGTCCAGTTTGTCAGTCTTGTCAAACAGCCCGCTCGCCACTAGGCACACAGCCAAGGCGGACCAGCAAGTCGTATAGGCTGCCTGACCACGTGCGCCGCTTCGGGCGGCGGACGTTCCGTTCTGACGACGGCGAGTGACGTCAGTTATGCCATTGACAGCTACCCCTGGCCTGAGGGCCAACGCCTGCGACGATGTTGGCCTAAAGCTGCCTGGAAGTATAAGCACGGCATGGGATTCACATGTGACCGACCAGTATCTGGAGCTTCCTCAGTTCTGGGGCTATGTCCAGTCTCTTGCCAAGACCGACAGCACCGCAGCCAAGGAGAGCCCACCTAAGAGAGGAGGGGGGAGTGAGACATTAGGGCTTGGAAGCCTCGCTGCCTCGTCACATCGTACGTCTTTCTTCCGTCTTGCAATATCAAATGACGTTTTGCTTTTGGATTTCGTGGCGACTCGTCTAATGCAACGCTCCTACTCCTATAGGGCAGTAGGTGGATAGATGAGGACCAATGCAACCTACTGGGATAGTTCCTTCGAGATCAAAAATGCTTCTGAATATACTGCACCACCGGCCCCTCTTGCATCAGCGGACAGTCTGATCGCGGTTTAATTCGAGTGCCCAGTTTTCGTGATTGCTTGTTTAATGCATGCTCGATATCCAGTCCCCAGATGTGTGAAGACATAGACTCACCCCTCGCAAATGCGCCAAAGCTGATATATCGCATAAGTAAACCAAAATTGCTTGCGTGTATGGTAGTGGTGGTAGCCGTCTCCCCTCTCTAGTAGACTTTATCCTACCATATCGTGCAATCAGAATTCTCTTCTGACATGAAAGAGGTTGAGAGTAGAATCAGCTCATGTCCCTTTTGCAAATTAGTTGCAATACGTCTCTTCTATGTTGATTAGTTATTACATGCGAGGCTTATGGATCAGAGCTAGCTGGTCTCTCTGCCAACTTGCAGTCAATCCGCTGTCTTACTCAAGTCAATCCCTTGCGTCTCGTCCAGGCACCTTGTGTTAGCAGGCCTTCTCTCGCTTCCAGTTCAATCTGTCAGTGTTCTGTCAGTGGTCGCGGCTTCTTCCTGGCCTTGAATGGCTTGGGTTGTGGATTCCTGTAAAATTGGATGCGCGTAGCTGCTAATATTCGGAGAGAATGACGATTATTTTGCACAATACCCATAACGTCCACTCGTGCCTAAGCTTCGGTACGCTTACTTCATGAGCAGCATGAACCGAGTTGTCGTCCAGTCAAGACCGGAGTCTTGCAAAACACTAGTTATTTCCCATCATTTAACCACATGTAAAGCAGCTCTTGGTAGATTATGATCGATCGCAGAACAACAGGCCCGGAATAAATTTAGTCCTCCCTTGGCCTGGAACCTTGCGTCAAGAAGAATAACTCTCTCAAGTCATTAGTTGCAGCAAGACAACCTCGGCTCTATGATGATTCCCATTAGCTGAGGCTTGGCTCATGCATTTTTGCGAGCATTCGCATCTTAGAAAGACATCAAAGCGCGAGGCAACGGAGGGATGATACGACGAGGAACTAAAGCATCTATGCTGACTGCGATGGCAGGGGTGTCGCGAATCGGAATCCTTCCAGCGTGACAGCCAGACGTCACACAGATGCAGACAGTCATATTATAGGTCAGAGACCGATCCTCCCAGCATCCTGTCTGATCCTTTCGTGTGCGCACTCAGCCGTGCAGTCAAACGAACCGTTTTCAAGGGTTCATGTTTCTTGCGGTTGAAGCGGCGATCGATCGTACACTTTGTATAAATAGCGCCAAGAATCCCTCTTGGCTCAGTTCCAGATTCCCCAGATTGTTCTCGACCCGACCAAGGAAGACAAGCTTTGTGAATAACCCACCGAATATGCAGATCTCCCGCTTCACCTACACTGCGCTCTTGGCCATGGTTCTTGGCTTTGCTGCTGCTGCACCAGCTGACGATCAAAGTCTCACCAAGCGGTAAGCAGCTTTCTGTCTTCTAACAAGCCACTTGCCACGGGTCTATTCGGTCTGCATCCACTGTATCCCCGACGGGTTATAAGTTATCATTCTCATGCACTGTACCTTGCTTGATGGATATGACATATGGCCTACGAGGCAGACAGGTTTTGGTTTATACTATAATTGCTTCAACGTTTCGGAATATCTTGCACTAACAAGCTTCATTAGGGGATGCGGTGACCGTTACTTTGGTACAACCGCCCACCAGAGGTGCGCTGCCGACTGTCCAGGGACCTGCCACAATGGCGATTTATCAGCTAGCTGTTCCTGCTAGGTGACATGAAGAGAATAGGACTGTGGAATTTCCGTTGTGCGAACCCTGCTATCTACCTCTCGACTGTATTGTTCTTTAGTTGGGGGTACGGGTGTGTGTAAAGCCCAGAATATACCCCGTGACGGAGATGTCTACCTCAGTGTTGGCACAAGAAAATGTATATCATATATCATCAAGGGCGTAGTCCAGATTTGCATTGTGCTATTTTCATGTATATGACACCGGATGCGACCACAAAACTGGTTTTGGATGTCCTATTTCCTGCCGCATTGTCCTTGGTGAGCTCCAGTACAGGCACAGGGAATGAGATGAGGAGAAGGGAGGATAGCGCATTCCTACAACACTCCCTGCTTCAGCAGACGTCAATGTGTCACAGGACTCGTGAGTCTTTTCTTCACTCACAAGTAAGAAAGGGTACTCCGTCAAACGCAAACCGACACTCCCTTTCCCGCGAAAAATCTATACCCCCAATGTTCTTGTACTGACAGTGCATTCATCCTTCCGGCGGAGGTATAATATTACGACACGAGCGGTTTCCTATAAAAGTCGAGACTGCAGAACCGCATCTCGACACCGGGCCGCATGAACGATAGGACTTGCCTTTTACTTTGAAGAAGCCTTTCCGCTTGCTAGGCGGACGTGTTATATTTAGAGTAAGAGGCGAGTGCCCAAAAAATGTGGTTCTGCCGACATTTGACTGCAATGACACTTTCTTCCATACCTCTCGACTACCTCTGTGGGTTCTCGTCCCTCATAAATAGTCAGTTGCTGGACGATGGAAGTTCATTCTTCACATAAGTATAGAAAAATCTACGCATGCGATCTTGCCGAAAGATCTCAAGAGGGACGTATCACATGATAGCCGCTCTCCATGTCTAAGTCACATGGACTGGATCTGCATGAGGGCGCAGTGCGCTCTCACGATGATGTTGACCGGGCGGACATGCTGTAAGTCGTTGACGCGAATCTGTTACAACGGGACCTTCCACGATCACTATGAAGACGCGCGGACGTATTGAATAACCCCCTTCGTATCAGCTACATCATGTATCGTGACGCATTGATGGCAGACCATCCGATATCAGTAGCTCAGACATTGATAGATTGCATAGAGACAACACTAGTTAGCGCAGATGCACCACCCCGAGCGTGTGTGCCCAAATCATGCACAATTTCCGAGCCTCGTCTCCGTCAATGGCTTCCGCTGAGGCTGCCGCGACTTTGAAAATACTAGCACGCCCGATGCGCGTTCCCTTCCAATGGGCGCGGGTGTTGTGTATGGTTCCAGCTCTCGATCTGCACCACGCGGCTTCCATTGCATTGGCACTCTGACGTGCTCTGGACCACGGGTGGGTGCCCGTGTAGAGAGTCTGAATGACGGTGCGGCTGCGGGATGAGGGCAACAGATCTCGTCCACCCCATACCAGAAGGGGTGGTCATAGGAGCGGGAGACTGGGACCTTTCCGGGCAGCGATGGCGCTTCAGTTATGATTACGCGACGAATGCGATTCGCGGCCGATCCTGCTACCCCGCGTTCGCGAGAGACATGCGATTCAGAATCATCCAGCCGGACACGCGACGCGTTTCCCGTCCATGCTGCACACACTTTGCTGTCAAACCTGTGCTTGCACCCTGGCAAACTTGCTGTT